TCTGGTTTTCGACAACAGCGCCACCGACTGCGTCCGATTGTAAATCTAAACCATCCAGGGACCCACTCAAACGCACAAAAAAAATTCATCAGAATCGGTTGAACTTTCGAGTTTTAGCGAGAGTAAAGGACATCAATTGATTTTTATATATAGAGATGTAATGTAATCTCTTGACTTAAGTAAGAGAGTTGATGAAGTTGCTAAGCTGCTAATCATCTATTTCAATTGTGCTACAAAACGATCTTTTATTCCTGTTCAAGTAGTTTTTGACCTTTTTAAGAGTATTTTATATTTGTGTGGAGTTATGAGCTAAAAATGCCATTAAAACGGAACGTGTGAAATAATTACTCTTTGACAGATGTAGTAGTGATTAAGACCTCTTTATTGTGCTTTCAATAATTTATAGTCATCTGACTTCTATGTACTAAGTAGTAGGATTCAAAATTAAATAAAACGAATTTATAATAATAATTTAAACACGGCTAATGTTGCATAGAAGCAATTTACTATGTTTAGTAGGAAGTCAACAGTAACGGGAAGTACACTATTCTCGTCAGTGCAAAATAACTAACATAATAACACGTTATTTTGAATATCATTTGTTGGAAATGTTTGAAATTCATGGAATTAATGTCGATTAGCTAGCTCTACCTACCCTGCAGTTTTTTTGGAGGCATAAGAAAGTCCATTACTACATTTCATCCCGAGGATATCGTGAAGCAGCGTCAAAATTAACGTCGAGTACGTCTGTTACTGCAGTTGTCAAACCGACTACAAAATAATAAAAAAACGAGTGTGCTTATGACTCAAGTAAAGCTCCATCTGTATATATATATATATATATATATATATATATATATATATATATAAGACATATACATATATAAATTTTCTACAAATACTTAAATTTACTACCGGCTTCCTTCCATAATTTGTTATTGTTCACCCGAAAACTCACAAAATATGAACTATAAATGAATTTACAATATTATTCACTTTAAACGTAGAATATTTAATGTATTGACAAAATATTAATTCGTAAAATTGTTCAAACCCAAAAAAAAAATTACGAAAACTAACTGGCTATGAGAGAAACAGAGAAGGAAAATGTGCGCGCGCACTGCTCTCTCTTGCTTATATCCCCCACTCAACTCCCGTTCGCCTCGTCCGATCACACTTTTCGTAACGCTTTCGTCACGCGTTCGCCAGCTTACTCCCCAAGTCAAGCGTGCGTAAAGAAGTTTTACTTCAATAAAAAAAGGCAGATATCCTTTTTGATGGGGTGTAACGGTATACCAGTAATAAATCATAATAATTTTAACGCCGTAGCGCGCCAAATGAGCATATGCGTGTATTGCGATAATAGCCTTTAATATAATGTATAAAATTCAAATTGCGTTAATCTCGCAAAAACTCAAAAATGGCACCGACTTTGTTTAAAAAAAATGTGTGTTTTTTGAGTTGGTCCTTGGATAGTTTGGATTGGATTGGAGATAAATTGGACCGGGTGGGGGGCGATGTTGTCGAGATCCAGAAGTCACCAGTGCTAACTCTTCGAATTCTTCAAATCAAACTGCATTGCGTGTAAAGTTTTGTATATAGTTTTCATAAATTACATCTGGTGTTGCAACCCACACGTACCGCATGCGTTACGCACACGCATTTGGTTTGATCTGTCAAGCATAGTTTCATTAACCTCTTTTCTTAAAATAATTACATACATACTTTTCTCGTCACGTTTTCTGTTAGTGTGTCTTCATAAAATATTAGTATAGCGCCTACATTTGCTTGACACACGTTGAATACAATGTTTTATGCGTTGTGCGTTCGAATAAGTAAGTAATAAGGTAAGTGGTATAGCCACGCTGTAGCTCTGTTATAGTCATAGTACGAATGTGTTAGCTCGACCGGGGTAAGTTCGGTCTTTCACAGAAATATCCCTCCATCTTAAAATGGTGCTTTCATAGCTTAAAATGGTGCCTTCATTTAGCTGTGATTCGTATGGTGAGTGTAGAGAACCGGAGATCACTTTACTGGAAACAAGGCATTCCATTTTAGTCCATAAGGGTGACAACGCATCTGCATTTCGATTCTTAAATGAAAATTAATGTAGATGTCTACAGCCACTGCATCCTCTTACAATCAAGTGGTGTGTGTGTTCGTTCGTCATACTTTTTTTATAAATTAATATAATAAGTCATGTGAGTAAAACAATGAGTGAAATTATCTATTTGCAATTTTCTGAAGTGGGCTTATATTTTTATTATAAGCTTAATTCTAATTGCCTCGTTGGTCTAGTGATCGTAAACGGTGATCATGTCCCAGGTTCCAAGTTCGAGTCCCGGGTCGGGCTAAAATCGGTTAATGGGTTTTTCTGTCAAGAAATTCTCAGTATCAGCCCGGAGTCAGGAACTTGGCGGTGTTTCAACTCCGTGCCTTGGAAAGCATGTAAAACCGTTGATTCGCGTGTCGTGTCCGTGTCGATGTCGCGTTGCGTATACACTCGGACATTATAATCTTACTGTTTCGTTGGTCTAGTGGTTGTATTAGTGCAACTGATGATCATGAGGTCCTGGGTTCGAATCCCGGGTCAGGCCAAAAAATCAATTATTGAGTCTTTATGTCAAGAAATTCTCAGTAGATGCCCGGAGTCAGGAAGTTGGCGTTGTTTCACCCCCGTGCTTCGGAAAGCACGTAAAGCCGTTGGTCCTACGACTGATCTCTCTCCCTTCGTGTTGGTTTACCGTCCCATCAGATTATGAGTGTGAGGGAATAGAGAGTGCACCTGTGCACACTTGGGCACTATATACCGTGCTGCGCCGATCGCTAGTCTTCGTTGAGACAGGCCGCTGTGACCGAATTTCCGTCTGGAGGATATTATTGTTCTTATTATAATCTTGTCCCGCGAAGATGGCTACTTTCCGTTGAGACGGGCCGCCGCGACCGACATTCGGTCTTGAGGACATTATTGTTGCTCAGGGACCGCGAACTGGATTAAAATTTCTAGGGTTCAATATTTGTTAGTATCTGACTGACCACTAGTTCCTCGTCGAAAAAAAAATTGTTTGTCATGCCGGACATGTTTGCATACATACTATAAAATTTTAGCTTAGCTTTTATCTATCCATTACAGCCTATGAAAGTCCATGCTGAACTTAGGTCTCCCTCATAGATTGCCTTCTGATGATGATCGATGGGGGGTTTTCCTATAGTTGCCACGCTTGGCAAGCGTTGCAGCAAGATGTTGCTGCCCATCTCCTGTTTCATGTTCCTTCTATCGCTTCATATCGGGATGATATTGGGGTATTCTTAAACCGCATCTTATATTACTTCTATTGTGTTGAGTTCCTGATATAAATTACATTTTGAATATAATTTATCTTATACTTTAATTAAAAATGAAAACGAAGAAGAGCCGTAGTAGCTCAGTGGTTAACGCTCGCTGCAAATATAACAGAACGCGAGTAAACCTGGTTCGATCCCCGCCGGCATCAATGAAATTGTTAATTGTAATTTTAAGTGCTGATTGCAACCTCGTGCTCGGTGGTGAAGGAAAACATCGCGGGGAAACCTGCATGTCTAAGGAATAAGAAAAAAAATATTTAGAAAACATGTTAAGTTCGCCAACATACATTGAGGCAGCGCGACTGACACTTCCTTGCCCTAAAACGCTCTCAGAAGTGAGGAGAGGCCTGTATCCAGCAGTGGAACGTGCATAGGCTGTAACTTTTTTTAATTAAAAATGTACATACTCTGAAGAAAGTGTAATATCTACAATGTTCCCTTGTAATAATTAAACCTGTTTTTTATCTTAAGGTTTTTCTTGAATAGTTTCTAATTGCATTGTATTGATTGGATGTTATTTGTACTCCAAATTAACCCAAAATTGTTCGACTCAATCTGTGAATTTTATGTACACTTGTTATTGATATACATATCAGAAAGTATAGAAAAGTGTATGTTTTCGTGATTTTGTCATATATGTGTTATTGCTTAACAATTATTTAGAAAATGTATTTATCTATGCTCACTATTGATTAAAACTACTACAAACTTGTGCTAAAAACTATTGTATCCTGCACGATCAACTTAAAGCTATTACTAAAAATGTAATGAACCTTCTTGGTAACAGGAACTCCTTATAAGTCTGCCGTTTCTTCAGTGGGTCAATGCGGTCACGCCGCGTATATGTCCGGGGCTAAACACACTGACACAATTGAGTTGGTGTAGATGTATATTGCAAACTGATGCGTTTTAAAAGAAAATCTTCATTGAATTATCGATAGATCGGCCGTTTTTAAAAGCCGAAATGGCCGATAAGTTTTGTCCATTAATTGATTCTGTAAAACAACAGGTGTAATACAAAATTGTGCTTAAGAATATCAAACATTTTATTTGTAGAAGTCAAGGTGAAGATGGAGTTAATAGGTCTAAAAGTTGATGTTCAAATGTCGTGGGATAAGAATATGATATAGTTATCGTTTGAGAAAACGCAAAACGACCATCACAATGACAAAACTGTGTGTCATGGTATACAAAATTATATAATTACTGTGTTTTAACAGTGTACTTCATACAATCATCTTGCAACGCAATTACAAAAGGTTTCAGCAACAGTAGCATACAGATAGAATAATAATAATAATAATAATAATGTCCTCCAGACCGAATTTCGGCCACGGCGGCCTGTCTCAACGGAGTCTAGCCAACGGCGCAGGACAGGATTATAGTGCCCAAGTGTATGCGCAAGCACAGGTGCACTCTCTATTCCCTCATTCTCGTAATCCGACGGAACGGTAAACCGACACGACCGGGAGAGCGATCAGGCATAGGACCAACGGCTTTACGTGTTTTCCGAGGCACGGGGGTGAGACACCACCAACTTCCTGACTCCGGGCAGCTACTGGATAGGCTTTGTCTGCAATATTAAATACTGCAGACAAAGCCTACGTTCTGATTCGATTGCTTTACCAGAATGTTATTCAGTTAGTTGATAGAAAATGAGTGGTAAAACAAATATTGTGTGTATTCGGTTGTCTAAACATTATGGGTTAACAACCGCAGTTTTTTATTACTTTGCGTTGTTATCAGGATAGTGCTGCTGCCCGACTCCTGTTTCAGTTTTGCTCCGTCGCTTCTTATGAAATTCATGGGACTATTCGGGGTAGTGGACATTTTTACACCGCATATATTAATACCAACTTATTATCAACTCAACCTTTGTCACTTGCCAGGCCTAGTCACTTGGTGCGTCAACTAAAATTAAAGTTGATTAAAACTACTTTTACGGATTTTATCGCGTTTAATTTTCCCAGCCCCCATGGACACGGCCCACGAGACGTCACGTTCCTGACAAGAAGTCTGCAGTTTGTGATCATATCCTAGACGGCCCCAACCATTACATCAGATTTCATAGATCACAAATCCTCGCGAAATAACATCTATTCCTACCAAGGATGATACGTGAGGCTATTGAAATTAAAAAAAAACATCCTAATTTCAATAGAGAAGGAGGCTGGGTACTACCACCTGCTTGGGACCCTATAATCAATAAAATTAAAACCAAACCCAAGCACACCACTGCAAGGTTTCAAGACATAGTCAGTTCATTTCGCATAGATCGGACCATAAACAATAATTAAAAAAGCTGAAGGTACTCCGGGTTTAACAATGACATCGGGATGTCAGTCACCTCAGTCCCCGTGACCATGGGTGCTGGTAAGCAGCCGAAACGTCGGGAATTAAAAATAAAAATAATTAAAATTAAACGCGATAAAATCCGTAAAAATAGTTTTAATCAATGTGTAGTGTTCGCGTAAATATAAGAAATCATTATAAAAATGTCTCTGTTTCCGTACTCTCGTTCACTTTAATATAAACGCAAGCAAAACGGTGCTGATTTACCACGTGTTTGACGGTAAAATGGGATATGTGTTAATGACAGGAGCGTGTAACTTTGTTTTACTTATTCAACGAGGGGACTGACAAGACAGCACTAAATATTTTTACGAATTTCTTTTAACCATATATATATATTTAAAAGAACTTGGACATATAAATCATAAATCCTTTATTTGATAATAAATATGGTGGGTACACAAGATGGTAAAATAAGTTTATAGCACATGACATATTTCACGCTCATTACGGGCATGCAAAATTATAGTAAATTTACAATAATATTTATTTAAATAAAGTTACAATTACTAGAACTATTTAAATTACAATTTATAACTATATGAATTACAATTTATAAGATCAATTTGAATTGTAATGTTTATACGCTTATAAATTTAAAATCTTTGAATTACAGTGATTACAATTATTTAAATTATTAAATTATTATAATAGATTTAGTCACAGGAAATATAAGAAAAGTCGGTATCTTAGTGGGCACCAAATCGGCATGTGCATTTATTCAAAAAATCTTTAAGAGTGTAGAAACACTTCTGGATTAACCATTCCCGTAAGACACAACAAAACCATTTATATGGCAGGTCAGTCATTCTTTTGGGCAAAGCGTTATGTGTTAGGGGTGCCATATAGGCACAGTTTTTTTTGAACAGTTCTAGCTAAGGTACAGGCATTTTTAAGGGAACGTGCTTAATTTTACGTTTAAACATAGTCTGTATCGTTCAAAATTAGTGTAAATACTAAATAATAGTGTTAAAGTAACGTTTACAAAAGTTAGTTATTTTAGTTAAATTACCCATTTATGTACATGCCGTTTAGTGACGACGTAAGAGAATCCACTACTCCATCCACTTCTAAGGCTGTCGTAAGAGGCGAGTGAAGAAATAAAATAGAAGAGGGGCAGCAGTATCTACCTGTTAACTTATCAAAAGGCTGTTAATCCGCCTTCCGAACGAGGAAACTTTGGCAATTATCCGCAATATTAGGCAATCAATGGGGAAGCCTATATTCAGCATTGACTTTTTGATAAACTATTATGAATGAATGGAAGAATGAAATTAATTAAACCTAAAAATAAAATAATAAAACAATTTTTTAAAAAGTTTGATTAAGTTTTTCTAAAAAGCATTTTCAAAATTATATAATAATCTAATATAATAATTTGCGCCTTTTTAATCACTCAAAGTCAAAGTATGGAGCATAGATAATATACTATATAGGGTAGTATTGACTTTGGCAATGCTGTAAGGAGCTCCTTATAACAGCATACATATATAAAACGACGTCAAGCAATGTAGATAAATACGCAGAATTATAAAATTGTTGTTTTAAAGGTATAAGAATCGTTGCATCGTCTTTAATTGCTAGACACCAATCTGAATTCATATTAATTTGTATTGTTTCTTCCTTTTCCTTAAAGTAACATTCGTATGGGTATATGTATACGAGTATGTACAAGTATCTACAAAGTTTTAAAGTTATGATTTTTATCAACATTTAATTAGTTGCGACAAGAACATTTTACAAGTTGTTTATTTATATAATTTTTTTTGGTACTTTATTGGCGTTTTATAAATTACTTTTTGTTCCAGAAAATATCGAAAATGAATATATCGAAGGATCAAGATTAAAAAGAGAAGGAGTCCCCGAAAACAGGGGTGAGTAGCTAAACGATATAAGTCTTGATATAAACCTTAAATTTCTGTATAAAGTATTCTATGCTTGTGTCAAACCCTACGACTGTATTGTTAAATAAATTTACTTCCATGTCTTTGCATTTATTAAAAATATTGTAATACTATATGATACTTATTCTTTGCAATCTGTCCTTAACTTCTTTAATTTCCTACTTATTACTCAGATTTTTATATAAGTACAGAAACATATTGGTGCGCTTGTATACCTTCAGAAGTGTAGTCTGTATAATCATTTTCTGGCATTAATGTTAATAATAATTTAATGGTTGCCGTGAAATAATTGTCCTCCCGATTTTTCATTTCATTTCAAGAAATATTTAAAACAAATTCTCTTAGTATACCTACTCATAAACACCTAATATGTTTCTGCCTTCATAAGAAATAAATGTTCGTTAAAGTCGATGATTTTCGTAGACCATATGTTTTTTTTTAAATTTATGTTATGGGATAGTAGTTGACAGTACATAAGGATCAAGAATTTTAAGTCCAACGTTAAGACCCACTTTGGAGTCACTATGCTATAGGAGTGAGAAAGTGCGTGTATTTGACTAAACTTTTTCCTCTTTTACATCTTTTAAAAAAAGTTATACAACGTTACAAAAACAAACACTAAGACTAATAATCATCAACTTTAACACATACACTAACTTAAGCTATATTGTTGTAAAAAATAGTGCTAACAGATTTTCAAAAATTTGCATCTTAAGTATTTTCTATTAGTTTCTGTATACTATTTTCTTTTTATATTTTAATATTAATTGTATGTTTTTTCTTTCTCTTTCAAATCTAATCCCCGGTCGTGGCCGACGTATGAACTCAAATGGACCTTGTAAAATACGCACCCATGAATTTGTATCCTATCCACGACACGACGATACGCTGACGAATGATGACAAAGACTTGACAGTGCTCCTCGTGAATGACCAGAATCGTGACTACAATACAAAGATTGGAAGGTATCACAGCGTCAAACCCCTTATCGGCTTGTTGACATCTACAGCCAGAACTTTTATTCAAGATGGTGTAACAACTGAATTTGCGACACAAATTCTAGGCACTACATTAGATAATGGTCGCATATACGCGCAACTACTAACGAAATCATCGCTTGTACTTTATAATAAGCCATCAAACGTTGATGATCCTTTTCTCGTACAACCTACACGTGTACATTCTGCTTTTGATGGACAATGGAACGTCAAGCAAGATCTAGGTTTTATAGATCCAGACAAATTCGTTCTTAAAAATACTGATTATCTGGCTCCGAGTAGTAAAACGAACATTGTTTATGCGAGTAAGGCTTTTAAAGAACCTTTAAAAGTTTGGAATTCTCCAAGTGCTCCTGGATTGCAATTTGATAACCAAATTTTTGAGGAGCCAACTGCGCGTAGAGTTCAGGCATATAATCAAATTCCTAGATATGAAGTGTATAACTATCTAGACGGTCCAGCTATCGAAAGTGAGAAAAAACTTGAATTTATTGTAGAACCATCTATTTTAAATAACGTTAGCACATTGCATCGACAAAATAAAGCTTATGAATCCGTTATTGAATCGTTAAATATTAATTCTAAAGATAAAGATGATACTATAAATGAATCTAATATTGTTAAAGTGAAACCTAATTACGATTTACCAACATTTACAATTAAGAATGAGTTTTCACCAATATTTTATTATATTGATAATGTTGAGTCACGGCGTCCTCCACAATATACTCTTCAACAAACGAAAACACCTAAAAAATTGTTCGGACAAAAAAGTGAACCAAGTCCTAAAAAGACATTTACTTATGCTGGTTTTGCCGATTTCACGACTGTAGTGGGTGACACTGTTATCATATTTAAGCCTAACACTGAAACTAGTCGTCCTCCTAACCCAGATGAAGTAAACGTATTTCCGTCAGCTAGACACGTTGATAAATTAGCAACTAAAATAACATTTCTTTCTGCTGATATACCAGTAGCTACAGCTACATTTAAACCTCAGGAGGTTATTCAGTCAACTAAAGCTATAACAACGTCGAGTACAACTAGTAGTGATATAAAAGAGAATCCGGTCTACAGCAACGAAGATAGTCTGAAGAAAGAATCATATAATGAAGATGATAAAATGTCTGGTGCTGTAAGCGTTCAATACAATAATGGTTTTGATTTTAATCTAGATATTATTCAACCTTCTGAAGCTTCTTTTACAACAACTGAAAGTACACGAGCTATGGATGAGTTACAAATAATTCATAATCAAGAGTATAACACACATGCTACTGAGCCCTTAATTAATATTCAACCTTCTACATTGACCTTAGACGAACCAAAGGAGACAGTTGTTACAGAAAGTAATATAAAGGAAGTTTTTACGAACTCTGAAGAAGAGACAGAAAATACAGCAGCGGAAGTAACGGAAAAATTTGAGGAAGCAGAGGAAGTGGAAGATGAGGAAGAGGAAGAAGAGAAAACAACAGCAATGGAAGAGCTTAAAACAACGACAGAAAGCGGCCACAGCGACGAATCTTATGAAGATATTGAAACTACGACAGAAACCAAACATGATAAACATGAATATGTTTACTGCACAGATGGACTAGAAACACAATCGACTATGACTACAGCTTTTAAAACTTTAACCTATTTGACAACTTATTTTATCCCATTAGAAAATACAGGCACTACAACGTCTGTAGAATCTAACATTGTTTTTACGAGTGACACAGGTTACTTCACAAATATTGTATGTAAAACGAATTTAATAATAGAACCAACTGCTGTTACTTCTGTAGAATTAAAATCTACCGAACAATTTAATTTAGAACGTCCAGAAACATCTACTGAATTTCATTCTACACAAAATGATGTTTTCACAGAAAATTCTTTGAAAATAACTTCTATTGAAAAGGAAACAATAACAACAATCCAAGACGATGAAGATGTAACTACAAGTGATGAAGGAAAAAATACAACGACTTACGGCTTATTTAATGAACAAACGGTAGCGTTTACTACAGAACAAGCTTCTACTAGTCGTATGGAGGTGTCTGTGAATACTGAGAGTATTTTAACAGAAAAACCAGTATTTGAAGAAACCGATAATGCTAATATAGCAGAAAATGAAATTGATCTAATATACAAGACTTTGTACACAACATATACGTATTTTACCACTTTTTTTGGAGAACACACTTCAAGCGTTGTTAGTCATAAATCGGTGGTAACTAATATAATCACATCTACTGTTGACCTCTCTAACATTGACCCGTCTTTGCTTGGAGCTTTCGATGAAGATGAAATTGCACCTACTGGGGTAGGGATAGGTCAACCTACCGAAACATTTGCCATAAATAGTATAATTGATTTAGTTAAAAACAAAGACGTTATCGAATCAGTTGAAAAAGATGGATCTTATAGTTCACAGACACCTACACCATCTTTAGGTGATGATGTTATTGCCAGTATAAAACCAGATGCTGTTAAAACATATTTTACAACGTACACGTTTTTCACGACAATTTATGTGGGTACTGATGCAAATGTTTGTAGTAGAAGCGAAGTGTACACTAACTACGTTGGTCCTGATGAGCTTATACCTACCAAGAGTAATCCACTTGTTACTGAACAGACCAGAGCACAGTTTGATTTTAGAAATTGTAAACAGGTCAAGAGAGAGCAGGAAGTTTTGGTCCAGAATAATCCTAGTAATAGTGCAATTAAAGAAGAGTACAATTTCCAAGAATTGGGTGATTCGAAAAAAGGCATAATACAACCAACGCCAATAGAAGTTGATATGTTGCTTAGTATAGAATCGAATCCTCTAGAATCAGAAAATTCATACGTTACTGATGTTAAATCTTCATCTTCCAAGGGTGAAAGAAAAATAATAGACAACAATAATATAATTTTAGATGATCAAATAAGTTCCGAAAGTAACATAGAAGAAATATTGCCATCTCCAACACTTTTATTGCAAACAAGCTATACAACATTTACTTATTTCACAACGATGTATATAGGCAAAGACTCGAGTAAAGTGAAAAGCCGTTTAGAAACTATAACAAATGTTGTGACGGAAACTATAACTCCGAAAACCGAACCTGAAGAGGAGAGTAATTTACCCATTACATATTACACAACTTTTACTTATTGGACTACTTTATATAAAGATAAATCCACTACAATCACAAGCCGGGAGGAAATAGTTTCAAATGTTGTCACTCCAGTAATGCAGTCATTTACTACACTAGGTCCAATAGACACAACTCCTATAGATGTTAATAGCGTTTTACCGCCTAAAGATTTAGAAGCACAAATTAAACCTTCGATTATCGAAGATAGCTTGGAACAAGATGACGGCAAAGCGACATTTTACACGACTTATACATATTTTACAACATTTTACGCAGGAAATATATCTAAAATAAGAAGTAGTTTAGAAACGGTTACTAACATTGTAGATAACACTAGACTTGTAGAAGGCAATCAGCTAGGTCGAAAAGTTGGTGGAGTTCCAGTAGACAAAAATCTTATACAAGACAATAGCGATAAGATAAATATTGTACCATCTTCAGTCAAAGAAGAAATTCAACCAACAAATATTCCTGATATTACACCCGTTTCCTCTACAGTTCTTCTTGGAACTTATATTGACAATTTATTTGCAGAAGTAAAGCCTCTTGAGAATAGTCAGATCAGTCCAGAACCAGAAAAGAAAATATTGTTTTCTCAAATTGCAGTTATTTCGGGCAATTCGACTATAGTAACAAGTGATAATAAGACCTTAGAAGGCAGTTCGACTAGCACTTCTTCTTTAACATCAATAACAACTTCAACAGAAGAATCAATAATAAGTCCAACTCCAGATGCTATTGAAAGTTCTGTTGCAGAATTAGAAACAACGACTGAATATAAACCTGAACTGGAAGAAGAAGAGGATAATACTAATCCAAGAAAAAAGAGTCGTCTTACATTTACGACGAAAAAACCATCTTTTACACCAGTAATTATACCATTTGCATCAAGAAATAGACCTACATTTAGTCCAAAACGAGTACCCTTATTAAGCAGTGCTACTACAATAACACGTGCAGATTCAACACCTACAATAACAGCAACTCCTACATTAAAGTCTGTTCGAACATCTGGATTTGGCAGTGCTAGTAGAAAGCAAGTTGTATCACCCGCATCATCAGGGCCTGGGCGAAGATTTTCTGGTCGAAGTAGTAGTATTAATTCATTAGCTAATGTACCATATGCATCTAGATCAGGAGGTTTTGCAAGAGGGAGTATACAGCCTACTTCAAGAAGATCAGGGTTCAGATCTAGCTCCTTCAGAAGTAATAGTTTAGATTACGCCAGCAGATCTGTGATACCAAGAATTAGACCAACAGCGTCATCTAGATTAAAGAATAGTAGACAATCTTCCACTCTCTTCTTTCCCCTTAATGAACAAGGTGAATCTGAAACGTCCGCCACCCAACTAGAAGAAATTGCGACAGAATCTTTAGGGGAAATTACTGAACTTCCATCTAGAGCTACAAACAGTCCTTTATTGAAATTTAGAAAGTTATCTGTAGCCAGACAGCCTGGTACAGCAATTTTGCCCCGATCGACAACACCCTCGGCTAAAAGAAGTGGCAATATTCGTGGAAGAACTACTACAACAACGAGGCGAACTACTAGGAGTTCAACGTCAAATCCGTTACTTTCCTTACGTAGGCAACGACCAAATTCTCTGTTTCCAAAAAGAAATCTTTTCAAACAACCTGAACCTGAACTAGAAGAAGAAATTAGAGAAAACGAGCAAAAGTTTGAAGACGATGAAGAATTATTAGAAGAAGAGGAATTCGAAGAAGATAATGATTACGAATCTTCTGATAGAAAAGAGCAACAAGTAGCTACCCCTTCTACACCCGCCTCAAAGAAAAATAGCAAAGTCCAAATCAGACCTTTTGCATTTAAAAAGCGAACAAAGCGACAAGTAGATTATGGAAATAGAAAATACACTAATTTTAGAAGACCTGGATCTAAATCTGCTTCAACGCGTCGGCCTGAACATGAACCTGAAACTGAATCTCCTGTATCTGTAACACAAAAACAAAAAACAGGACGTTATAATAGTCGAACACCTAAAACTACAACAGCCACTACTCCAAAATCATCATCTAGACAGTCTTTCACAGTGCGCGGTGAAAGTAAAACTTCAAGTACAACAGCATTGCCTGCTTATAGAAGAGGTAGAACAGGAACATCTTCCAGAACTACAACTCATTCATCTAGGCCCAAAGCCCCAAGGTTGTCGAATAAAAGTTCTGACAGATCAAGGGTAGGTTCATCGCGTAGTTCAACTAGTAGGTCACGAACTCGCACAACCACTAGCAGAGCGTCAAGTAGACAGCGTAATTCCTTCGAAAATCTTAGTGCTGAAAGATATAGACAGGACTCTTACAACAATTTATTACATGATGGAAAAATTACTATCACTCATCAAGTACCCGTTGAAGTTACAGTTCCGGTTGTTAACGGTAGGATCACTGAGTATAAAAATCTTTTATCCGCTAAACCCAGTGCGGAAACTCTGTTGTTAAATCAGGTTTCAACGTCAATTGGACCATTGGGAAATCATCAATTAGTTCTCGCTGTTGAATCAACCGAATTGGCTGAAAACGGAGCCACAAAGATAACAAAATACGTTTTGCACGAAACTCCAACAACAACCGTTATTTTTACACCCACTACTATTAGAGGACGAAAAACTTCTTTCTCTCATGTATTACCTAGTACAGTATTTAACGTCGAACCTGTTGTTCAAACTATAAGCCCAGAAATTAATGCTAATGTTCCATTAGCTAATCTTTTACTTTCACAACTTCTGTTAGGTAATCAACAACCTGCGATCAATCCTCTCCTGGCATTACAAGGACAGGCGTTGCTACCTCAGCAACAAGTGGTGCAAACACCTATTACAGAATATAAAACTAGAACCACGACATTTGTGACAACTGTAACTGATGCGAGAGAAACTGTATTACCTATTACATTCAGAGGTAAAGCTATATTGACAACAATTGTCGATCCTACAACTAATGTGATAACGGCAACGGAATTCATTACTGATACCGTTGTAACCACTCCTACAGCACTAGCACCTCAACCTCAATTGAACTCTTTACTACTTCCTTTGCTACTTCAACAACAGCAACAACAACAACAGATTCTTTCCTTACCTACAGCTAATCCTTTACTTGGCTTAGCTCAACCAGATCTTAATCTGTTGCCTAATAATAATTTAAATTTAAATAATGATATTTATAGCAACAGCCCAAAACCTAATATATTATCAGACTTAAACAGTAACGAAGACTTTTCGGAAGATAGTGAGGAAATTGGCGATGACAATCTTCCACTACCACCACCACCTTCTTCTTCTCATACGAGACATAGACAAAGAACACTAAAAGCTAGTCATCCAAAAATGACAAGTGTAATAACATTATACGTGTCTGGTAAATTCCCTGGTGAATTTAGTACAGTACTTTCGACTATAGTAACGGATGATACTCAAACAGTTCGTAAACGTGAAGCAATTTACTTTAATGATGCCCCAGTAACACCTACTATGTTACCGTCTGTAGAAAATCTTGTTGGATCTCAACCAGATATTTTAGAAAACACCATGGAATATAATGAACCAAATTCTAGATTTGATACTCAGAGTGAAACGCAAAGCCTTGAAAGTATTGTAGGAAAAATTAGTGATCATATACGATACGACGCATCACCGACTTACGTTGTTAAATTGGGAAACCCATCTACTATAAGTAAAAAAGAACAAAAATCAGTAGATGACGTGTCTTGAAATCCGAACAATTGGTTAGGTGTGTAAAATAATGGATTAGTTATTTATTTACATGTATCATAGTAAGTTAACTATGAATAGTGCCTTATAGTTTTAGTGATTTGTACTAGATTAAATGTCAATACTCCATTTAGTTCTTTAGCTACGTACTGTATATACGTTTATAATAAATTCTTTCCTTTATTCACCAAAAACTTTTCTTATTATATTGTCTCCAGTTTTCAATTAATAATAAGATGGTGGATGACGTGAGAGTGTAAGTTACGGTACAGTTATATGACTGTCTAAGAATAACTACTGACCTTGTTATTAGATTTAGTTTCAAATGTCATTCTTTTGTAATTTTCGTACACTACTTGCTTTTAATTATTGTAAATTGTAAATTCCGACTCAAAATGTTAAGTAATAAAAACGTAATAAAATTATTTTAAGTATTTTTTTATTCTTTACGTACCTTAGAAGGTTTATTTTTCTAATAAATAGTTGCACTCGGCATGCTTTGCAATGCCACAAACGGTCATGTTTGCGTTCACAACTGGTATAAATGGTTTAGTAACATATCGACGACAAACCAACAAACAAATAAATGTTCTACTTACGGAATATAAATAAACCAGAGGAAATAGCAAAATGCATAATTACTATCAAAACCGCTGTTACTAAACTAAGACATACGCAAAAAAGAAATTTGTACCGACAGTTGTGAATGGTTTTGTATCATTTTAATAAAAAAATATAGAATAAGGGTGACAAACGAGCACACAGTCCGCCTGATGGTAAGTGAATGTCGTGGCCCATAAACATCTACATTTATCCACTATGAAGAATCAAAATACAAATGCGTTATCACCCTTGAGGACTAAGAGTGAATGCCTCGTTTCCAGTAAAAAAGGGTCTCCGGATCTCTACAATCACCATACGAAACACAGCAGTATTAAGCCGCTTTTTTACGCTAATATTCTGTGAGAGCGTGGTCCTTCCCCGGTCGAGCCGACCCATTCGTACTACAACCATAATATAGCTATAGCGTGGCTCAACCACGTAAAAATTTTTTTTTTAAAATAGAGATCATATTCCTGAAAATGTTCATCCGTAATGTACAGTTACCCCATAATTTGGAACATTAACATCTAGGACTTGCACATTTTCATTAATGTTTTAGTAAATAAACTAGGATATTTTAGTAAAAATATAGGACTCTGATAAAATTTTCTTTTTTATCTTGAAAAACGTCAAAACTCAAGGATTTTATTCTGTATCGTCGAGGCGGTATAAATTTTACAATAACTTTCTTTCATCTTTCAGTTTTAAATTCCAATATTACACACAATGGCATATTTGCGCATATATATCAATTAAGTATCGATCCGTCAGCTCGCTTCAATTTAAGTCTGCTACTGACAATCAACTGAAACTAAATAAACAAATTAACTAAACAAATTAGGCAGTACCGTGCCTATTTTCGACATGCCAGCTCCGCCCACTTGGACCTTCCTGTTGTTTTTATATTTCTTATATTCCGTTGTTTTACTTATTAGATAAAGATGTTGAGTAAACGTTTCAAAAGTTTTAAAATAAAACGGTAAAGAGTATTCTGTTTTAGAAGGAAACGCCAATGATAATATTTTTTTAACAATAATAAACAAATTAGGACTAAATATAAATAGACACAATGACCAACTTAATGTTGACTGTAGACTTCATTACTTGAACTGATGACAGCTGAAGATTCCCTTTCACTAATGGAGGGCTCCAAACCCACATCCCGAGATCACTCAACTGCCTCCAGAGGTGAGTTTTATTTGTATGTTTTATTAATATTAATAGCAATTTTTACCTATGGATGTTTTGGAAAATCTATTTCATATCACACATTCAATAGTACCAATATAATTCTTTAATTTTATTTCGTAGATAATTAATAAAGGAGAAATTTCTAGAACATCTAAATCTATATTGCTACTGACATTTGTAAAATAAAAATAGATGAATATTAAAGTAGTATTTGCTCATCGCATGCATGTACATATTTACTATTATTAATATTAAAACACACTGTACACACACACACACAGTATGCATGTCATTAGATTATTAACCAACAGTTAAGATGTATATAATAATAACTTATAGTATTAACTTATAGTAATTTTTGTTCACGATGAGTATAATAGAAACGAAATGTTATTAATTTTTACTTTATTTATTTGAAAAGAAATCATAGTTATTTTAGTGTTTTTTATTAATTATTTTGGGAAATATATTATTTAATTATTGCGTGATTTTTTCAAATGAATAATTTCAGCATACTCCGTATTTACAGCGTTTCGGATATTTATAGCATCCATGGTCACGGTAGGAATGAGATTTTTGACCTTCTGATTTTATAGTTATCCGAACTATCATCGGCCTAATATTAAGTTTTGGTTCAATATATACAAAACAAGCTTACAGTATTTTAAAATCGTGTAGTATTTTGCTTGAGTGTAATTTTTTGTTAATGGAAATCGGTGCTAATTTGCAAGATATTGTGGTCGTCGTGGGGCGTCGACGTTCACTTTAATATTTTCTTTTACTCCAGGTTTATTGTCCACCATACTTACACTCGTGCAACTTATAAAGGGATATTACACTTGACGAGTGGTAATAAATTGATTATTCTTCTTTGTGCCATGCTCTTATGGAAGCCTGCTTCAAAAGGTATCAAATTTTTATATCATACCTTATGACAGCAGGCGTACAGCAGACACACACTCGACTGGAGCCAGTTTTACTCGATTGCTTTAATTTAGACGTAGGACCCGAAGCTTGCTGTCGTGCAATATTTGATAGTTATGCTAGAGCTTGGTGGCCAGTTATTTTCCGTCATAGATCCCTTGTGCTTTCTGAGAAATTTCCCACGGTAGTTGTGATGAATGGTAGTAACTAATGGTGTTATCGTCATTACACCACTATATTGTGTATAGGAAAAAGAGCTACTTGAAACAATATTAAATTATGTTTGACATAGATGAACATGAAAATGAGAAATACTTTAGTCTATCGTGACCATGTGAAACATCGGTAATTACAAATAAGTTAAAATGAACCGAGACCAAGCTATAAAATAAGTTTTCCTCAATAGTATTGTAATGTTTCAGCTTTTAACACTAACGGTATAATTTATGATAATTCACCATGGAGGCCGGGAAGAGAGCCAGCGGAGCTTCGAGAAATTTCAGAAAACAATGACAGGAAAATAAAAAATGTTGCTACAAGGATAATGTCAAATGGGGTTGAGGTTTTAGTAAGAGACAAAAATTCTGATGGAAAACACGATCAGGTAATTCTGGTTTTGTTATTTATTTCTATTATCAAATAATGAGTATTTCGAAAGATCTTTATTTTAAAATTGCTTAAACATTGTTTTGTTTGTAATTCTGTAACTTAAAGCACAAACTTACTATTTACTATATCAAACTCATCTTTGCTTTTATTTTCTCAGCGTAAATTTAAATTCATTCACATAACATCCATGAAACCACCACAATTTCACGTCAGCACATCATCATCACCTAATAAGTCATTGATATCATCAGCCGTTGCAACTGTTCTGAATCATCAGCAAATGACCGCCATGTTTCCAATAAAAAAACTTATGCAACACAATTACATAATCAAGACATGTATGACCACGTATACATATTTAACAACGGTAGTTCAAAATAAACGAAGTGCTATATCAACATTCGAGACTATTGTTTCTGTGATAACTACTGAATCATTGACAAATCTGTTCGCTTCAGATTTATTAGGAGAATTAAGGCCGACAAAAGTAAGATTCCAGTTAATTTGGGAGTTCTGGTATTTGAGCTAAGTCCTGAATGCCAACACCTCGAGTATTAATGGCAATCCCGAATGAAATATTTATAATACCTACCTTTTATAATTGAATTGCTTACCCCGCATTGTTGGTCCACAGCTCGTTACAATACTGACACGAAACATATTAAATATTAACATTTAGTGGTTTTGATGATTACTAACTTAATAATTTTTTTTACTAATTCTATTTAGTTTTCTATTAAGAGTATTTTATATTTATTTAATAAAATATTTATAGCATCTTAGCAAACTAGTTACAGAGAATAGAGAATCCTTCACTATTGAACACATATTTCTTAATCTGCAAAGTGCCCACAACCCTACTAGAACCCGTAGCCTTTGTTATCTATAGAAATAATAATTTTTTGATGTATAATTTTTGTTCATATTTTACTCTAGCATATATAAGATCATAATCTTATCGTTATTTTTTTGAAAACTCCAACAAATGGTAGAAATTTTTATTAATATTAATACAACGTTAATTTTCAGACAAAATTTATGGAGATTAAAACAATACAGCCATCGGCGCCAAGTAATATGTTTGTCAGTAGTTTTTCAAAAATTGACAAAAGAATCGATAACAAAGAGGAAAATTCACACACCTTTGATTTGATTCAACCATCTGAAGTTAGCCAACCGCCATGTTCTCTTTCCTGTTCTTGTAGCAATACAAAAACAGAAAGTTTGAAAACACAATACACGACTTCATTATCAGCTTCAGAGAAATATAATACGAAAACATCTAACTACGGTTTTGTCAAAGTTGATGTTCGACCTACGCAAAAAGAAACAGACAACCAAAGTCAGTATGAACATGATGTTAAAGTACATTCAGCGCCAACAGACAAAATTGTAGAAAAATATACGGAATTCGTCAATGACTACTCGGATGAAAAAGACGCAAATTCTGTTAAAGAAAGTGATTTACTTACTAATGAACAAGCACCAACAGTATCAAATAAAAATAAAATAAGTAACAGTAAAGTACCTGAAGATAATAAAACAGAAAAGCCCGTTAAAACTAATAAGAATAAATTTGTTGTTGCTGATCTCTTTAAATTAGGATCTTTAGGTATAAAAGGGTTATCACAATTGGCCCCGGTTATAGAAAAAATGACGGACACTTTTATGAAAAGGCAAGATACAAATAAAACAACAGCAACAAATATTAAACCAATAAAAAAACTAACACCTTACAATGCTAATGAACGAGTTGACAGTGACTTAGATTTAAAGCATAACAATTTTCCAATTTACATACCAGTTGATGAAATGGAAACTTCTGAATCACAAATTGCCTTTACAAATGCTACTTTACATCAAAATTTTGCATGGGCTTCAGAATTAAAGCAACCAAAATCACGTATAGCTCCTCCAAAAATAATTCATGAAAGTCCTTTAGTTAACGGTGGAATACCAATAAGTCCTGGTGAAATTATCACTGCAAACTCTGACGTGATAGTAGGTAAACCAGCTGTTGGAGGACCATTGACTTTGGTAGCGAGTGGAATTAAATTACAGAATCCCGTAAATCCTCCTCCAATCGATAATTTTATGTCAAACAGTGAATCGTATTTAGTAGCAGAAAATTCACCTTTTAACGAAAAATCGGTTTTACCATCAACAGTTGATGACTCATTTGACTTAAGACCGCCTGACTTACCAAAAATAAAATCAAATCCAACCAGAGATCACCACAGACAATCAATTCATAATATGCAAAATCTGTTTAATAAAAAGATTCCTTCAGTATTATTACATCAACAAAAAGTTTCATCTGAACCAGTTAAAGAAACATCTATAGGAAACCATGGCAGCATATCATTTATGGATTATTCTTCATCATTAACAAAACCAAATAAAAACCTACCTTTCGAACAACATGTCGATTTTCGTCCTTCCAATAAAGGAAACCAAAAAGAAGAAAATGTTATTGACAACAATCCTAGCGCCTCAGAAATAATAAGTACAAGTGTAACTACTGATGGGGAATATGCTGTGTCTATTAGTCATGATTTAGTAAACAAGCCGTTTCTGGTAGACATTCAACCTTCAAGGGTTGCTAATGTTATTATACCACATGGAAGCTCCACAGCATTAGTTTTTGCTGGGTCATCAGAACCTCATAAAACTGGTGATTATATTGATGATCCACTTCCCTATCCTGAACCTGGCTATTTTGGAAGTTTTAGTATAGATGCACCACAAATGACTTATGTTCACAACTTTGCACCTAACAATAAACCAATTTTAGTGAAATCAAGCAATCCGTCAACCTATCAAGGACAACAATTAAGAAATGATTTCAAACCCAAATGGAAAGATACTGAACGTCCTGCAGATTTCAATACTATGCCAGCATCTATTAGTAACCAGGAAATAAATAAGCAAGTTGGTCCGCAGATCCTTTACAATCCTGATATTTATAAAAGTGATGCACAAAAATACAATGTGGTTGGAGAAAACGATAAGTCTAAAAGTGGAAAAGAGGTAATTGACAAAGAATATGAAAACTATTTAGCAGTCCCTCCTCCTCCACCATCAAAGGTGCAACTAAATCATGATAATCGTTTCGATAAAAATAAGTCCTATAATCAACGTCCAGTTATTCATTCTAAACCAATTCAAGACATGAAAGTGTTTCTAAACATGCAACATCCAATGTCAAAAGCACCAAATCACGATCAAATGCCTCCTAAAGTTACTTCTGAAATTTACTTTGCAGTGCAAAATCCAAATAGTAAACTGATTCCTCCGTACAGGATTCACTTACCACACACGCCTTCATTATACGAAAACAAAAATGTGAATTCACCCGTCAGTAATACGCAGTCAAATAAAAATTATAATTCTCATATTGATCAAGGTTTATTGGCAATGAAACCGGGGCCAAATGTAAATGCAGAAAATTTGTCAAAGGCTGATGGTGACATTAAAAATATCGGACAAATGATAACATTTGATACAACTTATAATGAAGCCAATAATAACAAATATAGTCAAAATTTAAGTATGAGCTCAACAAGCACTCCTCAATTAGATCAATTTAATACTGACATACCCATAGGAACAAACATTGCTATTAGAGTTGAAGACGATCCTTCTAGATATGAAAGTATAGCAATACATAGTAATAAAAAACCTAACATTTATGATAACCATGGACGTACACCCCCAAGAATTTTACTACAAAATAATCAGTGGAACAAAACTGAAGTCCCAAGCGAATTTATATTCATTCCTGCTTTGAATAATAATGTCATTGAAGGTCATATAAAAAAAGATATATATCCTTCTTTGCCACCATCATTTAATAGTCATGCAAATTTTCCCATGATAAACGATTATACAACTTCTAAATATGATTTTGTTACACAAATTATAAGCGAATCCGATAATACTAAGGTGCAAGGCGATCAAAAGAGACCTGCAAAACTAATACCAAATATTCCAACAAATTCACATAGTTGGCACTCCAGTATGCCTGTAATACCTGAGAATGGCAACAATTTAAATAAAATTAATAGTATATATTATGTTGAGGCAACGACAAGAAAAATCATACCTATTTCGTTTAATTATAATAAAGAAAGTGTCCCAGAATTTGGGGAAAAAATCGCAGGCATTGGTAAACCTCCAGTTTGGCAGAATAGCCAAGACTTTACAAGTAATTTAAGTATTGGGCGACCGTTTTCAAAATCACAAGTAAATAAAGACCCAAGTTCTAGTAGTTCAATGTCTACAATTATTAAGCCTAACTACAGTGAAAATTACTTACCTTCAAATTTGGAACCTAAACAACCAGCGTATGAAATACCTATTAAAGATAATAGTCATGAAACTACTACCGCTAAGATTGTAAAAAATAAAAAAGAAAAATTAAAGCCAGTGTATGAAAACTCCGAAGAAGTATACGATGGTGAAGAAGAGTTTGAACACAATGATAGTGCAGATGGAGAAGTAAGCTTAGAGTCAATTAAGGTACCTGTTGTGACATCTTCTAGCGAAACAGAAAATACTTCGTTGAGCTCAGGCGATATGAATTACCATAGAGGCCAAGGATTTCAAACAAACACTCATTCAGTCAGTTATTACTCAGGAACTCAAACAGAAAAACCTTTTATTACTTACAATAACAGTCAAGGAGTTCGATCTAATACAATAAAACCGAATGACTATGTGAGGAACACATATATGAAGCCTAGACCTTTTAAAATCAATACCATAACACCTCTTGATCACCAATTACAGCAGCCACATTGGCAAATAAATCAATTAATGGAAAATTCTACTAACATGTCTTACGAAGAAACCCTGGATCTAAATATAGGCGAAGAAATGAGTACTACACATATGCCTTCTTTACAAGCAACTAGTTCTAAAAAAGATAGTTCAAAAGATTTGCTTAAGTTAGACCATCAGAATAGAACACAGGTAACAAATGAAACAGCTAATATAATTACATCTACCGTGCATATAAAAGATAAAAAACCCCTACTATTAGAGGTGACCGAAAAATCTAATTTGCCGAGCTTTACAATAACCACTGATTTAAATCACAATAAATCCAGTGATATTATTAATTTATCACCTCCTCCACCCATATTTGATTTTAGTTTTAAGCCCTCAACAAAAGATGAGATTATTATGGGAATGAATCCACCACCACCGAGAACTCCACCTCCAAAATATATGCAAAGAGTGCCCCCAACTTCTCGCCCGAGATTACCTGATCGAACTCCTCCTCCGTATAGAACTATGCCACCTAGGGTGCCTACCCAACGACCTAAGAAACGACCTGCAACTAAAGATGAAATATCTACATACAGACCTACATTCGATTTAATAAACAAACACATTCGGCCAAACTTTAATCGCAATCAGCCGTCATCGCAGCTGCTTCCCCCTCCAATAGATAAACCTTCAAAAATTATAACGGCTGTAGAGATAGATATACCACCGCCATCGGTATCTATATCATTAGATTCTAATATTGTTTTTCCAACACCCCTTTCTTCAGGTTGGATGACATCAACCAGCGTTGACTTTTCCTCAAAATTCAATTTTGCTCCAACTTCCATACATTTTCCAAAACAACCTGAAGCTTCTACAGCAGTAAAAATATTTGATACAGTTTCAACCAAAAAACCAGATTATGTATATTCTTATGAAAGTGAATCTTCTATTGAAAACATTGGTAGCTCTGAATCAATATTACCCGAAATAAAAGCTAATATATCAGTCTCGAAGGAAATGAGTACTGAAATAAGTAAAGAACCATTTACTGAAAATTCAGAAATCCAAACTAACAATATCGTGTCAGGCAATGAGATCAACAATCAGTTAACGAATAAAACGAAAGTAAATCCCATGGGAAATAAAAACAGGACTCGTAAACCTTTTCCTATTCAAAGTGACGATAAAAAACCAAATACCAGTAAAAATAAACACTCTAAACCTCAAATCAATATTACACCTACTCGAATTTTAAGTCGTCCGGAAATTTTATATCCGCCTAGAGTACCAAACCGAAAAGTTGTAAAACCAATGCCACCGAAACCTATAATTTCCGTAGCAACTCCTGTTTTAGAAAGTTCAGAATTATCAATTATCGACGATTTTATAGAACCCACAGACGTGTTGAAACAAACTGACTTGACAACAATATTACTTTCTGAAACTCCTACTTTGTTTGAAAATACCAATATTCCTACTTCACCATTAGAGAACAAGGTAAATATTTCGAGTATTCTTCCTACACATCACGCAGGCAATGAAATAAAAATATCAGATGACATTATTCCCACAAAGACAGAATTTAAGACTACTGTAGTTACTTTAACAAAAACTTTGTCAGAACCACCACAAATAGTTTCTAGTATCGGTTACTTTAATCTGACTCATACGTTAACTGTAACACATACAAAAACAAGTCTTATAAGCCAATCAGAAGGGGCCATTACACAAACGTTGGTGGTAACAAATACGCAGACATCGACTGTTGTTGATGTTGTAACTGAAATTCACACACATGTGCAACCAACAACAATTGTAGAAACAGTTACCAAACATATTCCTATTCCGCAAGTTCAACCAACACCTATCCAAGTAATAAAGAAGACCAAAGTAGCACTGGATGATATTTCTATGTCATCTGAAGAGCACGATAATTTAAACATAAAAGCTGCTGAAACAATAGAAAATATTCAAAAAATTGAACAGGATGGGGAAAATGATAGCGACACTTTCTTTGTCGTAATGAACAAATCACAAAACGGAGGAAAATCCCCTCCTGTTAGTACAGACATCGAAACCGGTGACTACGACGGAATTACAAGAAATGAACAAGTAAATAGTAATGGTGTATCACAGGTTCTCTTCGGTGAAATATTGCTAGCTGGAACGCCATATTTGGAAACAACTAATGTCGGTCAACCCATTGGTAAGTTTGCTATTTTTAAGACCATCTTTGCCCTCTATTTACTTATACAAGTAACGATTGAGCCTTCGCCATTTGAAAATGTAATCATAATTCTGCAGCTATATTTGTTAATTTTTTTAAACTTTGGAAATAATATATGATATGAATATATTTGCTAAACTTTGGAAATGACGTGTTTTTATAGTAGTGCTGAGATAAACAAGACTAATTATATCGTTAAAATTTTTGGTAGTAACCGTTTCGTTTACAGGATATGGTAAAGAATGTCAACCGGATTGTAAAGCTTCCCGAAATGAGAGATGTCAAAGAATTGATGGAATGATGAAGTGTGTTTGTAGGCCTGGTTTCGCTAGGATGTTCCCCGACAGACCTTGTAAACGTAAGTACAAAATATTAAAATTATTATAAATTTTAAGTGCTATTTCTTAAACATATAATTTATAAACAAAAAATAATGCACCTGTTTTTGTTTAGCAACATACACGTACTCAGTCAAATTAGCTCTAAAATCTCAAGGGAATGAACCTCTGAAATTCCACGAAAGCTTGTCAGATAATTCTAGTAAGCAGTATCACGCGCTGGCCGTGGCAACCCATGAAGGCATTAATAGGATGATAATGCAGTCAGATTTAAGAGATGTTTATCATGGAGTACACATAACCGGATTCCAACCAGTAAAAATGAAAACAATAAATGGTGAGAAATACCAGGGAGTCATGAATGAATTCTATGTTCAGGTAATAACAGTACGATATATTATTCATATTCTAATATTTCATCATGTTTGAATCTTGATTAGACACCGTTATTCCCTATTTAGTATTTATGGGCACTAGTTTTATATTAAAGTCTTCCTCTTCTTTATCATCATTTTTATGTGTTAAACGTAAGAATTTACAGTATTGCATCAATCGGCATGCATAACTTGAAAGATTGGCGCGTATAACGCAGAGTTAACACCCCCGTAGTCCTAGTTCCCATCAACATTTTTCGAAAATAGACTTCGAAGTTCAATTAGAAAAACTACCGCTATTCACTTGGAAGAAAGCTTAGAGTAATTACATACATATGAGGAAGAAATCAACAACTGGCATCGCCATTGAATTCATAACTTATAATATATTGACATTTTAGATTTTTTACATTGCCTCTAGCTACATAATAATAGACAATAAAAGTTTTAACACATTATAAATAAAGAAAACTAGTAGGCAAGTTGTGACTAGATTTTAAATGAATCAATTAACACTAGAACAATATACATATTTAAGCATTTTATTTGTTTAAGCTCTCGGACAACGCCCACGAGAGTCGATTGAAAGAAGTAATTGAAAAATACTTAAGAAATAATAACCACAGCCTAGGAGGAACCGATGTGTATGCTGCTGATGAATTGATGGACAGATTGAATGTCAGCGGTATGATTTAGTTTTGATTTACATTTACAGCATTAAATTAAATTTGTTTGTTGAAAATTTGTATCAATTTCATCTAAATGTGATAGGGGAGCAGAAGTCATTGCACATGTTGGTAAAGTATAGGTAAAGGTAAAGCATATATATGTCGTACTGCTGGGCACAGGCCTACTTTTATTTTTATTTATGCAGTCCACCACACTGCCAACTATGTGTTGGTGGGCTTCACATGACCTCAAATATTTTGTTCCTCAGGCGTGTAGGTTTTTTTCCTTCGCCGCTAAGGACATCGTAAAACAGCAATTATCATTGGTGTCTATGGAGACCAAAACCAAGTTGTTCGCATACTGTGAAATTTACGTGAAAGCTCTCCTCTGAACTACCGCGATTGGTAAGGTACTTTTCTTCAAGAGGGGTTTAGAAATGCCTATTACTAATATTTCAGATTTCGACGAATGTCTCAGCACTCAGTTCCACGACTGTTCAGAACACGCGCAGTGCTTCAATCTACGTGGAACTTATACATGCAGTTGCTTAGAAGGGTACGGGGACCTTAGTGTTAACCCGCTCTATCCTGGCAGAATTTGCTCCGGTAAGCCCATTTAATATTACAAAGAAATAAATATATTGACTATTGTCTTACTGGGGTACTACTTTTGTTCCTATTTTTATAATTGACCTGAGTATACTGTAACTCCTATTGAATTGTCTTCACACCCTTTGTACAAAAATATTAGTGTTCCTGTGCCATACGCATCATGAAGTCTTTAATGTCTTCTAGCGGAACCAGTTGGATGTGAACGTTGCAACTATCACGGTGCTTGTTATTCAAGAGACGATCATCGAGTACTTTGTGAATGCTTCCAGTGGTACACCGGCAGCAGCTGCCAAGTTAACCTCAAAGGTTAGTTATTATGTACGACTTTTAGTAATACAACATTCCCAAAATTTACTTTTCTAGTTGATTTGAACTGATGTGTCAACATACGATTATTTAGAATAATTGTGTTGGCTTTAAATATAACAGTGCGTCAAATCTTAATATATATAAATTACGTGTCACGTTGTTTGTCTGCGATGGACTTCTAAACTACTTACCCGATTTTAATCAAATTTGCACACTGTATGCAGTTTGTTCCAACTTGAGAGATAGGATATTTGATTGCCCATGATCGTGACCCACGATTTTTTTTGCGCATCTAAAGATTTTTAATAGGACATGACAAAGGGTCTTCGAAAAGGGCAGAACAACGTCTGCCTGGCAAGCTAGTACGAATAGTAAAGAAAAAAAAAGTATCGAAATAATTCTCTTGTGTTCGATGTAAGCCATAATCGTCCGATTGCAATTTTAGAAGAAATTTTTTTAATCATACGATATTTGTTCTCAATTTCTTCATATGTCCTATGTTATTTTCTAAAGTCATCTTTTGGTTACTAAGTATGGTGCCAATCATTGTAAATAATTGAATTTTTTTTCCTCCCTATTTATTTATTTCTACAGATAGTGTATGTGCAACGTTACACCGCCTTGTAGAGTCGTCATGAAATGTATAGGCGACATATTGCTTGTATGAAGTGCTAATAAAACTGTTCTTATAAATTAATATAGACGGGCTCTATTATCGCAAATTGCATAATAAATCTAGAGGTCTCATGTGCAATGGAGAAAATCGTTGTAATGAAGTTGACAACAGATTGAATGAGTTTTTTTGTTTAATGTGATGGCTTTACAAGGAGATGTCTATGAAAAGCTCCGGCTTGGATATTTTGACCACAAAACCACGATATACAAAAGTGCAGTACAACAGCTTGTATATGATAACTAATTCCCATATCAGTAAGTTCTAAGTATACGTATGTACTTAAGTATGTCACATATATTGTCTAACAAAGAGTTAATCACTCCTATAACAAACGTAAAAGTGAGGTGTCAATATATTTAGGATAACAATATTGTACATAACTTTAAAAAAAAGTTCTTTAATGTAATTTGATTGTTATCGGTTTAGTTTTCCATATATTGAATAAATAAAAGTTTAAATGTTAAAGTCAGGCGGATTTTTTTTTCAGTGGTGCTAATCTCCTTGGTGGTGCTAGGTGCATTACTGACGGTAGTATTGGCAGTGTGCTCGGTGGTTGCCTGCACCCGCCGGCCGCGACCACCTCAACGCTCCATTGTCACTTGTATACAGGGAATGCCAAGCTTGCACCAGGTATGTAAAATTACAGCGTAGCTGCTTTAAAATGTGAACAAGTGGCACATTAAAAAAAGGTTTTTTTTTGAAGGTATGTCAACTGAAATACTTTGTAAGACCTATCGACACTTAGAAACTAACTACGGTATTCCCAAATAATTTCAATTTCTATAGAAATTTTTTAATACCGTAAATCTAAGTAAAGTTACAACCAGAGTTTTGTTGTTAAACTAGCTTGTTATTCTAACATAATTATAAAAAGTTTTAGCGTTTAATTAAAAGCAAAAGCCAATTTCATAGAACTAAGTCTAACTTTGTGGCTTTTTGAGTAGAATAAGGAATGTTACAGGCTCGAATGGCGTCTAAACATTAAAAATTTCAGTATTTTTCCACCTTTAGGTGTTGAAGACACCCACATCATAATTGGATTAAAACATGTTGTCAGATTGTTACACTGCTTCGCTGTATGCATTATAAACTACGAAGGAAACCGTTTGCTTCGAATGTCTAAAATAAGGGTATCCGATAATGTAATGGAGAGGGAGGAATTAGGTCATGCAATTCCTGCGCACATTCTGTGAAATGTGTGCTGCAAAAAAATGAAAGGCTGATTACTGAGGGCTCATACGCGTTTAGAATTTTTTACTTTAAAATTATAGCCTATATACGTCCCACGGCTGGGTATAGACCTCCTCTTATTTCTGATAGGGTTTAAGGGCAAGGAAATCCAGCGGGCTGCCGAACTTCACATGTCTTACCAATATATTTTTTTTATTTCTCGGACATGTTTTCTTCCAGGTTTCCTTGCGATGTTTTCCTTCACCGCCGAGCACGTTGTAAATCAGCACTTAAAACTGCAATTAACAATTAGATTGGTGCCGGGTGGGATTGAACCCGGGTTTTCGTGAAATTTAAAGCGAGCGCACTATATAATCTTTTAAATCAAATCATATAAATCTTACTTTTATTACTTCCAGGGTACAACACCGTCTAAGCAGCGAGCTGATCGTAGAGCGCTGATAAACGATCGGACGGAGTCGGGTGACGCGTCTAGTGTACAGAACGCGTCCTTACCGTATTTGCCATCTAAGGTACATATTTTGCTTAAATGTATTCCTTTCTGAGATTTTTTTGTCGTTTTTGTACTCTTGCCGACTAACTTAGTATAAAAACTACTAGTTCTGGTTCTTGGTACATTACAAGTATGACGTTTCTATACTTATACTACCTGGCTTAGTATATTCACTGTAATAATAATAATATTAACAGTCGCACTACTCCAACCACTAGACCATCAAGGCAGTCATATATTGACTATATTATATACTATATCGGGGACAGTACTAGTACTTACTGTTACTGTCTCTCATATCAAGCTGCGTCAAGATTTGTCGTAAGAGGTAACTATAGAATATGGTTTTTTCAATATACTATGAAGACCATATGGCTTCTCATAGATGGCGGTAACCAGCGACGGTAAGCAGCGCCGTAGTCACGTCTGGTACTGCCTTTGAGTATCAACCATTTGGTTCAATACTCAAAGGGTACTGCCTATCTCGCTATCTTATGGTTGCAGCATGAATGGGTCGGCTCGACCGGGGAAAGACCACGCTCTCACAGAATACCAGTGTAAAATAGTAGCTTAATGCTGCTGTGTTTCGTATGGTGAGTGTAGAGAACCGGAGACCCTTTTTGACGGGAAACGAGTCATTGCATCTTAGTATTCAGGGGTCACAACGCATCTGCGCTTTGATTTTAATCGAGGATAAATGTTGATGTCTATGGGCCACAGCATTCACTCACCATTAAGTGGATTGTGTGCTCGTTTGTCAGCCATATTCTATAAAAAATTCTATCAAAGGTCCATTACTGGACATTAACCTCTCTATAGATTGTTTTATAGAGGTTTTATTTTTATTGTTAGTTGTTATTATACGTTATTATGTTGTTGTACGTGGTAGAGCCATGTTGCAGCTATATTATAATTATAACCTTAATGGGTCAGCTCGATCGGGGAGGGACCACGCTCTTGTAGAGTAAAATAGTGTTTCGTATGAGACATGAGATCGTATGAGATATGAGAAGGACGTTTCTCCACACTAACCGTGCGAAAAAATAGTGTGAAGAAATCCCTTTATACTGGATCCGAGGCATTCCATCTTAGTCCTCAGAAGTGACACCGCATCTACATCCATTTACAATCACTTATTCTATAAAAAAAATTAGGATCTCATCCCATATCCCGTCTTGATTACCTCTGTCTCCTCTTATAACACCTACGGGACTATATGTGCAGTGGATATTCATACACTGCTAGTACATGCTTCAACAACCAACACTTTATCGTTTTTTTTTGCGCCCGAAGCAAATATGGGCAACTCTCCGGAAAGCGGGGGAGGGAGGTTGGGAATGCTCATAGCATACCACGCAGCCGGCTGCGTGGTTATGTGGTGACTCTTACCCACTAAACCCAACCTTTTAGGAACTGGCTTAACGATCTAACTAGAGATCTCTAAGCCGTATACGAACGCGACCCTCCTTGGCAGAAAGGAACTTTATCGTTTAATGATTAGGTGTTTATATGGCAGCGTTCGTCAAGCAAGAAGGGTCTGGCGGCGACGATGTCAGAGCCTCCCGCGCACGCCCCGCCACCGCCGCCGCCGCCTGCAGTAGTCATACCGCGAGCCCGTCTGCACACACACCACTCCGAAAGGTACGTTTTCATAAAATTGAAGAAACACTTTACGTGGTAGAGTCACGCTGCAGCGATACTTTCGTTGTACCACGATTGGGTCGACTAGACTGTAGTAGGATCACGCTCTCACAGAATACCAGCGTGAAATAGCAGCTTAGTGCTGATATGTTTCATATGGTGAGTATAGAGAACTGGAGACCCTTTTGTACTGGAAACGAGGCGTTCCATCTTAGTCCTCAGAGAAAAAAAATATAAACAAATTTTTTTTATTAAACGTTTGAAAAGTTTTTTTGAACAGTTACTTGCCTTTGAGCCTGAGACTCTGTGAAGTGACAAGGTCAAAGATGCCTACTTTGTTTATGGTTTTATTGCCGTTCGTAAAGTAGAGTGGATTTTCGATAGATTTTAGTTAATTTATTTATTTAATTCAAAATTTTGGTTTTTATTTTTGTAAAATATCAGCGCCATAGACATACACAAAAAGGTATGCGTAGGATGTGAAAGAAGTGAGAGTAGTGTGTCAGGATTGTGCCAAATGGGAATTCGTAGGCTTTGACTACCCCTATGTGACATGCGTGAGTGTTTATGCATGCATGCACCTATTTACTTATGTGAATGTTTATTGTTACTTTTTAGGCGACATTCTAGTTGTTACATTTAGTCTCTGATAATGCTATTTTAATTCAGAAGCGAAAAAAAAATACTTTTCAATTAACGCTAAAAACTGACGATCGTCTTTTAAATGAGATTTTTACTTTTTATTAAAAGCTTTTTTTTTCAAGGTTTTTTCAATTCAAGAGATTTTTATAGCTGCAGCACGAATATAACTCGATTGGGGACGAAAAACTGAGGCTCTTTTATCATGTTTTTTTGGTAATTTTTGTCTTTAAATCTTAGTCGTCGGAGGTAACAACGAATCTTTATTTTTATTCGTGATATAAGATCAATATAATTGGGCGCGTTTGGCAGAAAAAAGCGCTAGCAAGCGCTTGTAAGCAAAATGGCGATCGTAAGCGGTAAGCGCTGTCAAATCGTAAGTAGCTATTTTCCTCTAGAATACGATGTTAGTTTTAACCGGGGAACCTAACCTAATTTAAATATATGTTTGTAAAGTATTCATATTAAAAACTAACCAATCATGAATTTTTAATAACATGTATATGTTTATTCATGTCATTATATTACTTAAAACTAATATTGCACAAAACAACTTATAAACTCTACTTCAAAACAAACAAATTAAATAAGCAAAATGGCGGATTGTGTCAGCGCTACCGAAGTAGCAATCGTGTCCTGTCCGAAAACTATTTCAGCGCTTATAAGCGCTTGCTAGCGCTTTTTTCTGCCAAACGCACCCGTTGTCTATGGATCTCAGCATTCACTTAGCATCGGGTGTCTGTTTAAATACATAAGCTGCAAGTACACCTGTGTTATTGTAATATCTCCTGCACAAGTGACCATATACGCACTCGTATTTATGGTAACACTATTATACATATCGTACGTTTATAGATTCGTCATTTTTATTCATTCCATTTTTCAAGTTAATAGAAAAAGTTTCAGCTAACTCTTAAAATTTTTTGCTATGTATTCTAGCCGAGACAATCTGGCGAGGAAGAGGAGCTTAGAGCTGAGTAACGAAGCGAAGTTGATCAGCTATTTGGAGTCCGGCACAACGACAGCGAATGATGAAGTAATTGTTTTTTAATTCATAAAAAATATAACATGAATGCTAAAACTCATACTTCCTCATAATATCAGGAGTTACTTTGCGGATATACATTATATTTAAGGTGTTAAAAATTTATTAGCTAAGATCCGCGTAGTAAAAAAAAATGTGTCTTATCTAATTTTAAGAGCACCTCTACTTTAAGAGCACTACTCCCAACACCACTACACTAGGAACACAGATTACCTCCTAATAATCTGTGACTAGGAAGTACACATCACCGTTGATAATACGTGTTGCGTTTCTAAACGGGATGTACTATTACATTTGCGCTCAGTACAATGACAAAAAAGCTGTGGTATTTCACGTGGTTTAGCACTCTTCGTCGCCACCACTGAAATCTTTGATTGTATAAAACTAGTTTTTGATACTCGTTTTAAATACTTGACAGCAGCCATGGTCAGGGGGAGTGGGGCTTATTTTATATCGTCGACGTTAATTTTACAGCACCCACAGTCACCGAAGTCAATTTTTGAATGCGAATTTTGTGTATATTTCTGAGCCTTATAATGTACCGTCAGGTCTTTTTATGGAAATGTTTGGTGTAGTTGAAATTTGTCAAGTGTAACCATTCAATAAAAATGAAAAAAACAATGGATATTAAATTTAATGTTATCTTAGCGTCAATTCATTGTGTCAGAAGAAAAAACATAATGAAGTAATTGGTCGCTTTTCAATAAAAATATTCAATATCATGTCATGTAGTGGCGTCCCGTAGGTGTATTGAGACAAAGGGGAATGAAGCAGAGTATGTGTCTTCCTGATTATAACTTAACAATAATAACAAGTGGTAAAATTAAAAATTTGTACAATCGACTTCAATATAAATGAAATGAAAACATCATCAATGTATTCGAAGTCAAATAAATACGCATCATCAAGGATAGCTCAAAATCCGATCAGATTTTGATCAAATTTATATGGGACTACACGTATAGCACCAGCTTTCAAATAAAAAAAAGAATGAAAAAATCGGTTCACCCAGAAAAAAGTTCTGAGGTAACACACATAAGAAAGTATACAGACGATTTGAGTACCCCCTCCTTTTTGAAGACCATAGAATACTATAATACACAATAGAATAGCTGTCAACATCATTTTGTACGAGAATAGGCGATCCCGGGAGCACTCATACAAGCAATTACGTCGTATTATCAATTAATCACTACTACAAAACCGATTCGCTGTGTTGACAGACGAATTTTAATACATATTTATTTGTAAATAGCGTGCAATTTGGCATTTTCTAAATAATTTGCGTGCGAAATTTGGAAACGATTGTAACGTTAAAACACATCTCGCGTTGACATTTATACGTCTGAATAGACGTGTTTGTGGCATTTTAGTGGCTACACGGGCTCCGCCCACGTCCTCGTTCTATTATGTATGTATTATACTATTCTATGTTGAAGACGGTTAAAAATAGCGGTTGCTTGGTGAATTCTCTTAAAAGCAATCTGTGGGTGAGGTCTATGTTCAGTAATGGAATTTTGATGAGCTCTAATGATGATGATGAGGACCCTTCATCTGCCTAAGAGTTGGTCTGGATAGATACCACCCTCTTAACTACTTCTGTTACCAAGCAGCAGTGAGTGCACTCTTGTTTTCCAGTTTAAAGGGTAGCGTATAATTAGTCTGTGAGTTCCAGCTTAGTCCACAGACGTGACAACGTCGTTCTTTGTTTGAAGCTGGTTGTGGGTTGTCCATGAACTGCAATAGTCACTTACCATCAGGTGGACTGTAAGTTCAATAGTAAGTAGTAAGTTACAAGTTCTATATTATAATAAATTTTTAATATTTGACACCTCAGACATGCAGGTTTCCTTACGATAGTTTCTTTTACCGGCAAAGCACGTAAATCGGCACTTAAAATTGCAAGTAACCATTTCATTTGTGCCAACAGGAGTTGAAACCGGGTAGCACACGTATTGTGGAACTATCCATAGAAGCATAATCACTTGTATCTAATATTAAAAAAAAAGAATATGATTTTTTTACGATTATAAAGCATATCATCTCTCTCATAAGGTCTCAAAGTTAAAATATTCATTAAGCAAAAATCAATGCAACTTCTATTCGTTAAGACTCATGTATTGTCCTCCATTCTTGTTGTCCACGTATTATATAGGTATAAATATTTAATTACAGATGAGAAGAAAGCATAGCCTGGAATCATCATACAGTGCACAAAAAGAGCGACACGCTAAGCAAGGTATCTTTTAATTTTTTATATTAACAATACCAGCAATAGTATTAATATAACTTATTCTTACGTGGTAAAGCCACGCTGCCGCTATATTCTAGTGGTAGCACGAATGGGTACCGACTTGAACGGGACAGGTTCACGCTCTCACATGATACCAACGTAAAATAGCAGCGTAGTGCTGTTGTGTTTCGTATGCTGAGTGTAGAAAACTGGAGACTCTTTTTACTGGGATCGAGGAGACATCTTAGTCCTCAGGGGTGGAAACGCATTTGTACTTAGATTATTAATAGAGGATACGTGTGAATGTCTATGGGCTACAGTATGCACTTACCATCAGGTCAAATGTGTGCTCGTTTATGCTGTAAAAAACTAGTATACCCGTTGATTTATCCAAATGATGAGTCCAATAAGTCCAAAAAGATCGCGTCGAAATCATAGATTATTGTAATCTACAAGTTGCAGGTTCATATCAGGCTCGAAGGATCAATTCTATGTTTATTACCTAGTTTGATTGCTAATGGGATGGGAATATAGTAAAGCAGAAAAGATTATTAGACACGTCTACCTTTTATATTTTCGTTACTTTTTTAGAAAAATCTTAGCATCTAATAATTACATCGCCTCTTATTGTCATCTACGGATTATTGTACATACGAAATTACTACGAACATATTTATATACTTAAATAATTTTTTTTTTATTACTGGTCATGACTAACCTCTTTAAGTATGCGTCAAAAAATTTAAATACCCGTTTAGGACATGCGACTTGGTAAGCCCTGAGCTATATGCATAAAGAATTTTGGTCTGTTTTAATTGACGGTTCCGTGGCACAGTGGCTTAGCAATGAGTTGCTGCACTGGGGGCCGCAGGTTCGACTCAAGCACGGAACAAGTATTTGCATGGCCTACAAATAATAGTTCCGGGTCTGGATGTTTTTCCTTGTGTAATTTATGTTTGTAAACTACCAACACGATACAGGAGAAAATCTTAGTGTGGGACACGTTTTATGAAAAAAAAAAAAAGAAACTAGCTGTGTGGTATGATATATACTGAAACAAAAATACTTCTTCAGCCATAAAGTTGTTTTGATGTCTGTTTTAATTCCTGATCATCAAATATAAAAGCAGATACACTATCGGAAGCTAAAAATTCAGAAATGAAACATAGATATCTTTAATATATTTACAATACAAATACATAGTATGTTAGCATGTTTCGAGTGCAAGTGTGTGAGTGTAGCATGCATGATCACAGAAAGACTAAGATGTCTGACGCGTTGTTATAGTTGTTCAATGCTTTATAAAGATTTTCATTAGTTAAGTTACTAGTTTTGTGTCGTAATTTTTGTTTCAAGTAAGTGATCATGATGTGCATCGTCCACTACCTCATATAACCTCGTGGGTGTCGTAAGAGGCGACGGCGGAAGGCTTCTGTTTCATGGGATGAGCAGCAGCATTTTCGTGATAACTAGTCAAAGTAATAAAAAATTGCGCTTGCAAACTGGCCAAGCGCGGCAGCCTTGCATGTGCATGTCTTATTATTGTCAGTCGTTATCAGGTGATTCTGCTGCGCATCTTCTGTTTCATCTGATATACGCCATGATAATATAGAGGGTGTTATCAATTGCGTGGTAATTTTTTTATAGGATAAGGTGATAAACGAGCACACAATCCAACGATATCTACATCTATCGTCGATTACGAATCAAAATGCAGATGCGTTGTCACCCGTGAGGACCGAGATGGAATGCCTTGATTCCAGTAAAAAGGGTCTCCGGTTCTCTACACTCACCATACGAAACACAGCAGCATTAAACTACTATTTCACGCCAGTATTCTGTGAGAGCGTGGTCCTTCCCCGGTCGAGCCGACCCATTCGTGCTACAACTATACTACTAATATAGCTGTAGCATGGCTCTACCACCTATAAAAATATTGTGTTGTACAAATATCAGCATCGGTTGGATTTGTATTCAGGACCCGCGGAGCGATATGCGTTTGCGATAACTTTTTTATTCTTTCTTCGTTTAGAAATAAAACAAGCTCTTTATACTCTACCAGCACACCATAATCGTCACGCTTAGCAGATGGATTACCGACCGCAGTATTAAACATCTTCAACCTCTGAACTGCCATCCTACACCAGTGAGGATATTTTTTTCTTACAACTAGATGATGCTGAATATAGATTTTTCTAATATATCTCGTAGTCGCGTCATACGCCACCCACGGAGCTAACTGGGGTAGTAGATTCTCTTTCGTCACCAACACACTGCGATATGCGGTAATAGTTGAATGGTGTCAAATTATTTGTGGAATTAATATTGCCCTCAGCTGAAATTTAAACCGAGAAAGAAAAGGTAAAGTCTGTGTCTTTTATATTAACACGTCTCGAAATAAAAGCGGTATATTAGGAATTTATTTAATTACAGGAGCGTTAATATCAGCAGGCTTCAAGGTGTCGACTACAATCCGACCAGAAGAGACGGCAACAGATCGGGAAGACAGAGACGACCTATCGTCTGTAAGCAAAACTGATTTGGACGGCGAATTATCAAGATTAAACACCATGAGAAAGTCATATAGGTATTATTTATAAATTCAGGTAATGTCCAATACTAATATAAACACTGTATAAAGTAATGGTAAGAAAATTACACAATTAATCAAAGAAGAAAAATAATATGCGTAGAATAGAATGATTTTTATATTTAATAAGGCTTACAAGTAATTCTTATTGAAACTCATTTTTTACTCTTACCTATAAATTACTTATTTGTATTACTAACATGTTATGGGCCTACCATGCCTGAAAAATAATACATTTTTATTTTTATTTTTATTATTTATTTTATAAATCGGAGAAAAAATCTCTGTCCCGGAAATAAGCAGGAAGAAATACAGCGGGAATGTTTTCCACAGTAACATAATGCAATATAAAATAGGTTGTACAATTATTACCAAAACTCATTTTAAGAAACAGTTTGGATCACTTCATTTTTAGGGGTTATTATCAAGCATGTTATCATTTATCCCTTTAAATAAAGTCTTTATTTAAAAAAAACTTGTAACAGAGGGAACTTGTATATTTTCTCGGACTTAATTGTAATAACGTATGTATCCATGAACAAATTATTAACTCTGTGGGGTCGAGTTTCACTAGCTTGTGTTTTTTCCTGGTGTATATGCACTTAATATCATCATTAATTGTGATTCAAATTAATTAGTAAATAACCTCTTTTGTTTTTGTTTACATTTTATTTCATTCATTTTATTTTTACTCTGTTGCGAAGTGACAAGTGTTTCGCTGCATCGTTGCGGGTTCGACTCCCATACGGGACAACTATTTGTACTACAATAAATTTTTCACGCTGTAGAAAAATATGTTATTCATTGGGAATTTTTAGGTAAATTTTGACGAAAACTTGAACCAGCAGATAGTTGATGACGTTAATATCTTAAGGTGCATTTGAAGCCTTCGTATACGTACGCAGACATTTATTAATAAACAAAATTACACCTACGTAAAAAAATACACGTCAAAAAATTATATAGATGCCAAGACCAAGAATCGGCTTGCGGTTTAGATTTTGCCAAAACTATCCAATTCTTACATTTAGCATAAGAATTCATAGTTATCTAAATGTTGGTTCGTATTTATTTATAGCCAAGAAGACATGTCTGAATGGACAGACGCTGAAAGAAGGATCGGAGAATTGTAAGTTTCACACATTATAGACAAGAGAATTTACTGCCTTTACATTTTAAAAGCCATGGACGTAGTTATGTGCGTTAAAAAGTATCCAACCCACAAAAAGCTACTTTGAGACTTTGAAGTTAGTATAAGTTATAAGTGATAAAAAGTGGCTTCCTTTGTTTTCTTTTCATCTATTTTTTAATATTTTAACAAACATAACTTATTTTTGACACAGAATGTGGTTTGGATCATTTTTGCATAACTACGTGTATTGTTTTACTTAGGTTTTTTTTTAATATTTACACTTATAATACAAGTTACTTTTATTCAACAACTCTTTTAAAAAAATTTCCAGGACACTGTCAGAGGCGCGCTCAGTGGGAGGCACGCTTCCCGCAAGCACCGGGAGAGCAGCTTCGTCGACACGTTTGACACATCAAGTAATTATCACGATACAACATTAGTCTTACATGTTATCTATCTTACGGCTGTTTCCACTTGTCGGATGTCGGGTTTGACAAAAAAACGAGTGTTCTAGTTAGAGAATATTTTGTTTGTAGCAGTTCATTTATCGGATACTGAATTTTTGCAGGCTCCTTAAGTTATGAGGGTCTTCAAGTGTTGCACGCTTGACAAATTTTATAATTTAGCAGATTTTCAAGTTTAATTCAAGAAAAATGTCATTTTGTTTGTAATAATGCACCCACATAACATTTTCTAACACGTTTACGATTGAACACACAATAAATATATGTTATGCACTTCATCCAGGAGGCCAACACGATGGCTGAACGAGACCTGGGCTCCACCTTCCTTCTACCGCACGTGCATCTCTATAAACCTGACCTTGTGGGTATTTTTGCACTATAACTCTAACGCACCCTAAACTATCTTAATGTTTAAATCACATTGAACTAACTTTAAATCCCGAGTGTACTAATTTAATTAGAAAACTAAATTAATTTTAAGTCTATGTACTTGAGTTTTTTGACTTAGTTCCCGCGCCTTTATAATAGCAAAAAGTTTTGTGATGATTGAAAATGCATTAAGAAGTCGTCAGTAACGTGTCAAAATTAACATACTTTGTTTACAGACGAGTGACGTCTCGGAGTTCGATTCCCTGTGAAGAAAAAGCTTAAGGTCAAGGTTAATGAAGATTTTATAGTATAATTTTTAATATAGTGAAATTCATAGGCATATTTTGGTGCTACTAAACATTGAAGTAATATGTAGGTACTACGTCCACTATATATTCCTTCAATGCTACTGAAAGGGACTTAAGTACCGAAACAAATCGATAATTGTACAAAATATATGTAACTAAGAATCCCCTTATTTGCTTATTACACTCACATCATATATCGAATGTTGAGAATGTGTCCATTTTATTTACTGCCTCATATACAGAGTTATTTTGAAATAACTAGCCGAATTTGCAGAGAAGATTCAGAATAAGTAATATAGGCAAATGGTGAAGAAAAATTAAGAAAAAAATCACAGACATTCTGTCTTTTTATCTCTTAAATTGGGTTATTCCGTTTTTACAACTTAGGGTGGATACTTGGTATCGCGTGTTCGTTTATCCACCTCAGGCGGGTTAGATAATCGGAATTCGTATATTATTTTTCTTCCGATTTACTCCCTCGACTGTGTACAGTCGTTTATAAAAACTGGCACAAAAGCCCTTATATTCTTAATTAAATTGTTAATGCATTATTTTAAATGATTTTACTGCGCACGCAAACATTCGTAAGAGTTGTGAAAACTTTATGAATTGAATCGCATGCAGAGGAGCTCGCGTATGCTTAGTTTTTGCCCATAAATCACATTCAATTTGAGATAATTTCAAATAAAACAAGATGCCTTATTTACTTGTATTTTAAAAAACTGCAATAACGTTATATCATTATTTATATATATTTTAATTTTAGTTTAAAATTTGGCTACTCTTTGAAAAATAACCCTGTATACAGTAAGTTAGTATAAGTAGTTCTATCATATACAATGGAGGCTTATTTTATCACCAAAGCAAAAATAATTTATTAAAAACTATTTATTTAAATCAGCACATCGAATTAATGACTAATTTGTGTTTCTTTTAAACCTCAAGTTCATTCCATTTACATATAACAAATATTTATAAATGCCATAATACATATAAGCATAAATTTAGATAATAAGTGCATCTATGAAAATGATTTGAATAAAGAAATCAATTTAAATGTAAAGTTTATTAGAATATTGCTTGATCGCTCCGATTTCTTATTTGAATGGTTTTCATGCGTTTTACGGTGGTTATTTATATTTCGTACTTATTTATTTTAATGTTTAGGATGTCTGTCTGCAAAGCAAATTAAATATAGTACGAGGAAAAAATAAAATGCCAGAAAGATTCTTTCATTGTATTTGTTTTTTTTTTAATTGTCAAATTACGTTCATATGTAAGGTACACAGGTAAACATTATGTCGCAATACATTTTAATGTGTACCATTACACATTTAAGTAAAGTGTGAGGTTGAAAATCGGGTACACAGTCCACCCGATGGTAATTGGATATTGTGACCCATAGATACCTACATCTTTATTCTTCTTCTATTAAGGATGAAAATGCAGATGAAATATCATCCTTAAGGACTAAGATAGAAGGCGCATTTATCAGAGATATTAGAGAAAAGGTCACTCTCCATATGGAAAGCAGCTTTACCACGTATAAAATACACATATGTGTATGTATATACACAGAATGAATTTTTTTAACGAAACAAAAAAGGGTGAAAAATAAGTAAACAAAGCAATCAATCTATCTATGGCATAGATATTTTTTAAATTAATTTTTTCAATGAATTCCTATTAAATGCCTACGCGTGGCAAGTATCAATGAATTTATAACGTCCTTGATCGTGGACTGGTTGATAAATAAAAAAAATAGATTTATTTGGTAAACTATCAAACACCTTATTTTTCATCAAAAAAGTCATCTGGTTTATATAACTCTTCTGAAACACGAAAGATATCTCAGGCTTTTGGTTGTTTTTATTATTGAAATATTCAATGTGCAAATATAGTGCCAATATTGTGACCAATGCCTTATTTTTAAGGCTTAAAAATAAGGCATTGGTTATATATTTTTTAATTTATTTTTTAAATGTAGAATTTTACGCAACTATGACGAAACAATTTTGTAAAAAAATATTAGTTTCATTTATTTATTTGTTAATTAAATTTTTAAACGTATTTTACTGGGTTTTATTTGCAGTACCTGGTCGTTTGAATCAGATTTGCCAATATCAATCAGGCTTAGGTAGTATGGGAGTAACCGTTACAATAACCTTGTACTGGTGAGCGATACTGTGTCTACTAAGGTATGTGAAGGTAATATGGCCACCTTAAGGTTTACCACCCTATAAAACCAAAAATAGGAAGAGAGCAGAGACAGAAACACAAGATGGTATATAATAACTTATATATTAAGAAAAATGGCACAGTAATAAAATCGACTAAAATATTTGCTATAATGTCAAATGTCCAAATGGCGTCGACAGAGCAGCGTCCTTTTGACCCTTTATTATTTGATTGACCGATAAAGATATATCTTATCACAGAGCTACCTGTGCAAACAAGGCTGTAGTTTCCGAGTCATAGAAAGTGTCCATTTTAACCGGATGACCATATAACCCTCACGAACTATAAGGAAGGTTCAAGGTAAAGTGGTAGAGAAACACGGGGATTTACAAAATGAACTGACAAGTCCTGGAATAATAACGTGATGTTTTTTCCTTTAATGAAAGTAATGGTGAGAAAAGATTACACAGCCCAAATTAATGGTAAGCTAACAGTGAGAAGGCAGCAAATAATTTGCATGGCTATTTGTAGCCAAATAGTTGCTAATAATTTGCTAAAAAACATTTATCCTGATGTTATTTCTAACAAGCAGCAAAATCTATGAATGTGATAGAATACGAAATGAGTTTCGTCTACAAAAACCTCGTCCTACGGTAGCATGAACACAGGTAGCTACCGTATGCTAGGTCTAGCCCATAGAATACTATAATACATACATAATAGAACGGAGGAGTGGGCGGAGACCGTGTAGCCACTAAAATGCCACTAACACGTCATTTCACACGTTTAAATCTCATCACGAGATGTGTTTTGACGTTACAATCGTTTCCAAATTTCGCATGCAATTTATTTAGAAAATGCCAAATTGCACGCTATTTACAAATAAACATGTATTAAAATCCGTCTGTCAACACAGCGAATCGGGTTTGTAGTAGTAATTAACTGATAATACGACGTAATTGCTTGTATCTGTACTCCCGGCGACGCCTATCGTCGTACAAAATCAGTTGACAGCCATTCTATTTTGTATTATAGTATTCTATATTAGTCTAGTCAAATGTTACTTACCCCTGTTTTCGGACGTTTTTACTTTTAACACAGTTTTCAGCAATAATGGACCCAATAATTGATTTCATTATTTTAAGTACCATAAGTTTGATATAAAGGTAAGCAATAACTTGTTTTAGTCGAACTGATATGAGCTACAAAATCAGTTCTTTTAGCAACTAATTATCAACTATTCAACTATAAATTCGCGTGCCATTTTCATTGGTTACTGCTGACTTTTTACTACTGGCTTGATAGGTCTCATTTAATCTGTACTTATTATATATTATATTTATTTATGTAAATAAAGGGTAGTAAAAAAAACTTTGTTTAATTTTGAGACATAGCGTTTTAATCAATATTCAATAGTAATTTAATTTCATCGATAGAATATTCAGCAATATTACAAATACAACGTGAAACAATAGAACAGAGCAACTTAACCGATCTTGAAACTTAATACAGTGTAGCAACGTTCGCAGACTGGCGTTCACCTTCCAACACCGATAGTTTAAGCACATCGACCCTTAAAATATAATATAACTATATATAAATACACTAGCAATGGTATTATATGGTTACTTAAATACGGGGATCCAAAACGCTGATATGAGGCTAACTTTTTCCAATCAGCGTGAAGTTAGCTTACCTAACCTGAACTACATTTCTAGGTCTTATTTTACCACCGTCAGTCTCAATCCATAAAAAAACACTACCAACATTTTATACCGCTTGCGGTTCGTTTATCATGTTTATTCCGCTTTTGTCTACAACATTGGTAACATAGGTGTATTTATTTTAATATTTTTATACCATATTACAAGTGAGCATACCTCAACATTATTTTTATCCCTTAGTCAAATTCGTCTACGACCAACTATTTGAATGGACGAAGCATAATGTATTAAATATTATTAGCAACAATAGCAATTTCGTATTCTTAAACATGTTTATTTATTTTATGTGGGTTATAACGTTTTAACTACATTTTATTATTAGTCGCCTTTTAGAAAATGCTTATTTAAATCAAATAATGAGTTATAAATTTATAATTATTACACATTAAACTCGCATTCTTTTAAAGATATGTTTATGAAAACAAATGGAATTTTTAAGTTTGTAGAAAGTTTACATAAAATTTTAAGTATTTATTTTACTCTCTGACCAATAAAAAGTATTTTTCATAACATAACTAAATTTACGTTGCGTTATACATGGAAATGACATTTTATGATTTGTGTGTGTAAAAAAAACACGAAGAAAGTGCAAAAATGAAATGAAGATTGTGCACTATGTTTACCTATTTATTATTTAATCTATTGCACCTTTACTTTAGAAGTATAAAAGCCTAAGCAGTCTGATTAATTGGTCGTAGCGATCATGTTGTTACTTAATATATCCATTAATAAGTCTACCTAGCTACTTATTTGAGAAATTGTGCAAGACTCAAAACCTGCTCATGCAGGTCAACTTTCTTGTTTAGATTCGAACATGTAAGCAGGACAGAGACATATTCCAAATTCAAATTATTTCTGTATGTTTCGGTATCAAAAATTTTAAGTCGTATCTACTCACTGAGTATTTATAAAAAAAATTGTAGTAAATTATTTTAGACATACTACATGATAATATTTTGACCAAGCTATATTCCACGTATCATAACGCGAAGCGTTATTTGGTATTTCAAAACTATTTTATGCTAAGCGCCTATCTAGAAATTTAATAGTTCAAAGTAACATGGACCGGCGTTGTATAAAAGCCGACGCGTCAGTACAAAAACGAGTACCAAAATACTATCCAATGTATTGGCGATATATAGCCGACTATCCAATACAAATAGTATTCACGGTTAGTCTAGTTGGCCAATAGTTTTTCATTCATATAAATACATGTTTATTACAGTTTATAGCAAAAAGGTCCAGTACTATAAATCTCAGTTGACTAGATTTAAATCTTACAATGAAATTAATTTCTGAATTTGATGAAGTATTTTAGTGTTTAATACTATTTTTAATATGTTAGATCTATACAAAACCTTTCTCATGACTTGATTAGTATAGTATAGTATAGGTATTTAGTATTTTTAATAGTATTTCAATCTTAATCTATAACTTTGTCTAGTAGCGTATCGTGCGATCGCTAAGGCTTTAAGCTGGAAATTTTAAAATTGAAATTACTTTAATACGCAACAAAAAGATATCTAAAATATATTAATGTAACAAATTTTAATTTAAGTTTTATTTCTTTGCAACTTCTTCGAGGCTTGATTGAGAAGGCTTAGCAATCATCGTCAGAGACCTGAAAAGAAAAAAAATAATGAAGCATTTTATCTATACATTTATATCACTTTAAAATTGTATTTGGTGTGGAAACTATGCCTAGAAATAACCTGTTTGTAATTATTTTAGTATATATTTTATGTTGTATGTTGCAGTAATTGCTAAAAATGCATCAATTGGCAACAATGTTACAAAGGCAATATAACCAGCTCCAAGACATGTGACGTTGATATTTTTGCCGATAAGCCTCAAAAATTCAAGCGAAAAGTTATGCAGTTAACTGTTAACAAACATTTAGACCTAGTTTTAAGTTTGTAGTTGTAAGTTTTAAGAAGCATATTCGTTGTCCACATTGTATGCCGTGGCAACCTTTAATTAAGACGACACTTAGATATAAGCCTTCCTGTAATTTGTAGTATTTACATTGTGTTCGTGTACGTCTTGTTGGTTGTCCTAAATAAATAAATAAAAATCAATTCTTTTAAGTATCAGTCTCCAATGTTTAGATATTTGGTCTTGATAACTTGTGATTGTTTGTGGTTGTTGTTTTTGATCCAACCAACGCCACCAGAGAGAAATGTGTTACCTAAAGTTCCTTCTTGTTCATTGATCGAACTTTCGACACGAAAGCTGAAATATGTTGTATTGAGAAATTTATTTTTTACGGACGGTGTGATTAAGCCAAAACTGCAGTAAGCCGGCATAACAATTGTTTCATTAAGCCAGCGGCATACAAATGACATACTTTCCGGTTAAAATCTAATTACTTATAAAAAGAAACCCCCAGATAATTTGCAAGATCTTTCTATCAATAACTTTAAATTTTAATTACACAAAATCTGTGTAAATAGGTAATTATAATATTAAAGAAAACATTATCAATGCTAACCTAAATTGTAAACTAATATTCAAAAAAGTCGACATGGACTTATCTCCTCGCACAAATTTTTTTCCGTAAGTATTTTTATAATCTATGAAAAAGTGAATTTCTATTTCGACATGTTTTAGGAGCTTAATACCTGGTGGCTTAATTCATTAAAAATGAAGCAAAAGTGGACCACCAACGTGTGTTGCTAATGTTGATTTATTGAATCAAGACAACAAACCTCAACTGCTTTCCGTGTAAGGAAGCTTATAGCGCGTTATGTAGAGTATTATGCTTGACGTTTTTTTCGCAGAATCTATAAAGAAGGTATACGGAGCAGAATTACTCTTATAATGGCTGACATAGTCCTACGAGCCTGTAAGCTGAAGAGGCAATAGTCGATCTTATAGTGCCTGGTGGACCCGACAACTGAAGTATGTTTTCACATGTAAACAGAGGTTAGGATGACCCCGCCCCTAAATAGTGTGACATCCTGGCAAAATAAGCAAAACATCGATGGTATATACATGGTTCAGGTATTTGTTTTATGGGAGGAGGCTAATACAGCAAGCTAACGCAGAACTAGAACCAACCTAATCGCGAAGAGAAGGAATATTTATTTACTTATTTGCTTTTTATTATTAATTCAAAAATGATATTTTACATTCTAGTCAAAGTTTCCACATTTCAAACTCAACATTACTACATGCTATAAATACAACTCTTAGCAATTTATTACAACCCAAAATCAACGTCCAAAACCTAACTTAAAGTGATATAGTCACAATTAACAAGAAGCAGGGTAATGTATATGATCAAGTTACGTAATAACGGTTCGCAAACTAAAATAAAAAAGCATTACAATATAAATAGTGTACCTATTTGTCGGTTTGTTCCCGAGAGTGACTTAAACAATAGCAGCTGCAATGACAACATAATACGTTTAGTTTTCACATCACATCTTTAGCGATTGATGGACTCGTATGTGATTGGGTGCGTTTGGCAGAAAAAAGCGCTAGCAAGCGCTTGTAAGCAAAATGGCGATCGTAAGCGGTAAGCGCTGTCAAATCGTAAGTAGCTATTTTCCTCTAGGACACGATGTTAGTTTTAACCGGGGAACCTAACCTAATTTAAATATATGTTTGTGAAGTATTCATATTAAAAACTTACCAATCATGAATTTTTAATAACATGTAATATGTCTATTCATGTCATTATATTACTTAAAACTAATATTGCAAAAAACAACTTATAAACTCTACTTCAAAACAAACAAATAAGCAAAATGGCGGATTGTGTCAGCGCTACTGAAGTAGCAATCGTGTCCTGGCCGAAAACTATTTTAGCGCTAGTAAGCGCTTGCTAGCGCTTTTTTCTGCCAAACGCACCCATTATAAACATAAGAACAACCAAAAGACAAGAAATTGTAATAAGCGGTAACAAAAATGATTATAAAACATAGAATATGAATCGTATTTATTAACAAATAAAAGCTAGTTTCGGATACAAATATGAGCTCAATTACCTTCTTTGAACAGGGATTGGTGGAGAGGGATGTGTAGTTGGTGGTAGAGATGCCGGACAGCTTTCCGATAGAGTTGGCAGTGGACCATCATCCTCCCTTTTCTCTCCTGAGAATCATAATACTAAATTATTAGAAAAAGTTATTGGAAAGATTTTCAAGTGGTTCTTTTGAATATTTATAGGAACTTGTTTAATCCTCTCGATATATTACGGAGGCAACATTATTGTAGTGTACGCATGAATGCAGAAGCAATTTGTTTTACTTTTTTTTAAATATGTGTGAAAAAATAAAGCAACAGATTATACAACTCACTCTTTCTAGTTTTTCTCAAATTCTTGCGAGAGTATTAGGTATTACTTATACCTAAGGAATTGGGTTAAGTAACATTTTTTTCTTAATTTCAAACACATTTTTCCTTGGATCTTTTTTTATAGACTAAGGACAACAAGAAGAAGAAACGAGCACAGCATTCACTAACCATGAGGCTAGTGAATACTGTGGACAACGCATTTGCATTTTGATTAAGAATCAGACCCTGAGAACTAAGTTGCAATGCATCGTTTCCGGTAAACAGGGTCGATTGGGCTGCTATTTCACATTGGTATTTTGTGAGAGCAATTTGTTCATAATAACAAATTCCTTCTAAGGTCAAGCCGACCCATTCGTGCTACAACCTTAATATAGCCGCAGCATGGCTCTTAACTAAGAACTGTGATTTAGTGAGGTCGTCAACAATGGATACCATACCTCTGACTATAGGCGTATCTCCAATATAGAAGGTCGGCGCCGCACCTTCAACAGTAGCCTCTCTCATTGAACTATCACCACTAACAGCACTGAGAGTATCAGTGCTGTCGAACATTATTGTACGCTCCTTCACTTTTGGGGCACGACCATCAGCAACAGTAGCCTGAAAGATAAACAAGGTATTTTACTATCTTATACTATACTGAAACTAGCAACCTGCCGAGGCTAAATGGTTTATGATAGTCCTATAGGTGACTGCCTCGTTGGTCTAGTGGCTGTAGTAGTGCGACTGCTGATCATGAGGTCCTGGGTTCGAATCCCGGGTCGGGCCAAAAATTAATTATTGAGTCTTTCCGTCAAGAAATTCTCAGTGGTTGCCCGGAGTCAGAAAGTTGGTGGTGTCTCACCCCCGTGCCTCGGAAAGCACGTAAAGCCGTTGGTCCTGCGCCTGATCTCTCTCCGGTCGTGTCGGTTTACCGTCCCATCGGATTATGAGAGTGAGGGAATAGAGAGTGCGCCTGTGCTTGCGCATACACTTGGGCACTATAATCCTGTCCTGCGCCGATAGCAAGCTTCCGTTGAGGCAGGTCGCCGTGACCGAAATTCGGTGAGGAGGACATTATAGGTGATAGGACCATCATAAACCATTTATTTTATAAATTTTACATTTTAAAAAATGCTTGTGATTTTTGGATAAAATATAGCCTAGATTCCGCCTGGTATTGCTCTCTATTTTTTCGTTAAGTTTCATCAAAATCAGTTTATCCATTTCTAAAGGCGGGTCTACGCTAGAGGAGCCGAGCACTAGCCGAGCACAAGCTGAGCCGCTCTACTCGCGATGTCTAGTGTGGACGTACAACGAGCCTGATATATGTAAATCGATGCATGCGATGCTAATCTCATGCACAGTACAGTACGAACCAAACGCTCGAAGCGTGCTCGTTCTAGGCTTGATCATGCTCGGCTCGTCTAGCGTAGACCCATCTTAAGATTAGCCCGGGCAGACAGATAGACAGACAAACATTTTAAAAATAGTTTAAGGACTTTTTATTCAATGTGTAGTGTTCGTGTAAGTATAAGAAATCTTTAAAAATGGTTGTTCATGTCTTAAATCTTCAAATAATAACCCCTTGGCTTTAATACAAACTAAGTATATCAATATTACATACAGACGCTTCAATTTTATTAATATGTGTATAAATATTGTTAATGCCAATAAATCATAACCAGATTTAGGCTACAGTATATAAGTCTATGCTGAAAACCTTCACAATAAAGTTACAACCTATATACGACCCACTGCTGGGCACAGGCCTCGCCTCATTTCTGAGAAGGTTTTAGGGCAAAGAAGTGGCCGCTGTGCTGCTCCAATGCGTGTTGGCGAAAACAATAATTTGTATGATATTACAAGGTTTTGGGGAAGACTGACTCAGTACTCAGACCAACAATATATATGTGGAGTGCTACGTACATTTTAATATGTCACTGAAACCATGCTCATTTTTATTCTTACTTTTTTTAACAGCTACACGCACACATACACACCTAAAATCATGTTGTTGGTTGTAAATTTACTTTGCATGCATATGTTTTTACAAAAAGTTAAGCGTAGCTTTGGCGTGGAAATGTAATGTCCAGACATGCGGGTTTCCTGACGATGTTTTCGTTTATCACTGAGCACGTTTTTGATCAGCACTTAAACTTAACAAAAATCATTTAAATAAAAAGTTCATTGGTACGGCGGAGATCAATACCTGAGTTGCTCGTGTGCTGTGAAAATACTTATTAATTAGCGCTTACCCACAGCTACCACGTATGCATCATAGTATAATTATTTTTTAATTTAAAACCTTTATTGTTCTAACCATAAACATTACAAATGGCAGATTTAATGTCTTTGTAACCTTTATGGTAGAGAGAATCGATGTAAATTTCATAGTACGCGAGCAAACCGAGTTCGATCCCCGCCAGCACCAATGAAATTGTTAATTGTAATTTTAAGTGCTGATTCACCATGAGCTCGGCGGTGAATGAAAACATCGTGAGGAAATCTGCTCGTCAGAGAAAAAAAATCGGAGACATTTGAAGTTCGTCCACACGCATTGGGGCAGCGCGGCGGACACTTCCTTGCCCTAATACCCTCTCAGAAATGAGGGGAGGCCTGTGCACTTTAGTGGGCGTATACAGGCTATAACTTTAACTTTAAACTTTATGGTTAAAACGAGTATGAACTTGAACTGAAAACTAGTTCTTGACGGCAAAATATATAATAGGGATACTAAGAGCTACCAGGGCGGACTTCTAAATTTATGATGGGAGCTGAGAGTATGGTAAGCGTTATCGACTTCGTTAACTTAAGCCGATAGTGTGGAGCTTGTCGTCGCTGCGTAAGAGTAGCAACAACCCTAAACCATCCCATGCATATCGTAAGAGGCGATAGAGTGAAGTGAAACAAGAGATGGGTAGCATTTTCTTCATTACGATTTAAAATAATACAAACTGCTGTTGCCAACCCAAGCGTCAAGCGTCAAGCGTGGCAACTACTGCACTATTGCATATTGACTTCTTTTTTATACAGTAAAGATGGCAAGCGATCACACAGTCTACCTGATGGTAAATGGATGCTGTGGCCCATAAACATCTACATATATCCTCGGTTAAGAATCAAAATGCAAATGCGTTGCCGTCCCTGAGGACTAAGATGGAATGCCTCGTTTCCTATAAAAAGGATCTCCGGTTCTCTACACTCAGCATACGAAACACAGATACACGTGAGAGCGTGGTTCTTCCCCGGTGGAGCCGACCCATTCGTGCTGCAACTATACTACTAATAAAAAAACTTTTCAAAGATCTCCACTATAAGGCAATCTATGACACTTGTTCAGCAGTAACGGAAGAATGAGATATTATTATTATTATTACTGTGGCAAGGGACGTCGTCTTCAACGAGTCGTATGTAGTTTTTATAAGACAACTTACCTTCTCTAGTTGTCTGTTTAATAAGGTTATCGTTTATATTTATTGAAAGCCTTTAAAAAATTGCAAACTGTTTTTGTTTCTTCGATTTTTTCAGTTCAGGATTTAAAAAATTCGTTTAAAATCTATGATTTTCAGCGGATCAGAATATAAAAATATCTTTATTTATACTTACCAGTTTTTCAGTTTCAGTATCAGGTTCTTGTACATCGTAATCGTGCGAATGTTGCTCACTGGATTGATACTCTAAGCTTTCCATCTGTACTGTGGTTATTGGGTCCAGAGTGTCCAAAGACGAGACCATTGTGTTGGACCCTGGAGTGCGTACCGCTGTTATCTTTGTGATTAGTATCAAGCTTGGTGGGATAGCAATATATTAATATATAAAATAAAAACATGGATATAAAACATCATTGAACAAAGCTTTCGTATCCAGCAAATATTTCAAGATTAGGTAAAAAATAATTAAATACTAAGAGATAATGAAAAGTTTGGATAAATTTAGGTTAAATTACAGCTGTTTTATTCAAAAGTCACATCTTCTGTTTTTATAAAAGCAAACTCAATTATGCGATTCTGAACGATCACATGTCGATTATTTTGATATCTTTAACCAGATACAAAAGCTTTTTCAACCGACTTAAAAAAAGGAAGGGTTTCTAAATTCGTCAGAATTTTTTTACTGTACGAGTATGTTTATGTAGTGATTATTCTCTATTATCATGTCCGATTTCAATGATTTTGCTTTGTCAGAAAGTATTCAGGGGTAATCTCACATAGATATGGTCGATATCTAATAATGGATACATGAGAAAATCATCAAACCCTTCAATTTGCAATAGCATCTGCAATTCGATTTTGGTAATCACCAAGTATTTATATTATTTTTTGAAGTCGGTTTTTACCTTTAATATACACTTAAAGTATAATTATTACTGTTATAAAAAGCGAGGATGGTAGCGAGCGTTGACGACGAAAGTTTACCAAAATTTTGTTGATCATATTTTGTCTTCAAATTTGAAATTCAAATAAAGAATCATCTACACAAAGTTATTAGTTATACCCACAAATACATTAAATTTTTATCGTCACTGAACAATGAGTCATACTACTCCATCGAATCACATTTGTTCTTTATAATGACTTGTAAGGTATGAATTGGTGACCTGTAATACAGGTTTTTTATACCTACATTAGGCATCAGTCTCTCACAACTTAGGTACCAGTCTGGCAATTTTGTAATACTTAGCACTAAAAATACCTATTGTGAAGAGAAAATAAATGCATTCATTCATTAATTCATTCAATTGTGAGAAACTGAATGACGAGCGAGCAGCGGGGCGGAACGACGAGTGTGCATGACGAACACACGCCCTTATATTTTTTATTCTTCATTTCTTTAGCAACTTACACTTTTGTGTTAAAGTTTCCCTAGTCATACCAGTACATTTATTGGGGGGCTGTCCTACACATTGCCTACCGGTACGAGACTGCCACTCGAGAACCTTTCTTCGCCCTCGGTTGTCGGTTCTACGAGCTACTGTGACTGGACCATTGTCACGTCAGCTTACTAATCCATTGGGCTATGTCGGTTACGTTAGTTTGGTGCGGATATCTTCATTTTTAAGTCTATTACGCAGAGAAATCCCAAGCATTCTCTCTCAATAGCTCGCTGAGCGACCTTGAGCTTCTTACATGAAGTCGATGGATGCAGGTGGCTCAGGATCGTGCTTTGTAGCGTTCCTTGGTGGAGGCCTGTGTTCAGCAGTGGACTTGTGAAGGGCTGCTGAAGTACCCGTGTAGTGACGTCTTAAGGGAGTCCACTATCCCATAACATACCGTGGTTGTCGTAAGAAGAGACAAGGGAAAATGAAACGGAAGATGGGCAGAGGTGGTATCAATTCTGGTATCAATTTAAAATTATTGAAAAAACTACGGTGGCCAACCAACTATGGCAAACATAGACGTGTAAGGCAATTTATGGGGAAGCCTTTATGCAGCAGTAGGCTTTTGATAAGCTATATCTATTTAGGTAAATGAATAAATGAATGTGTGTCACTTGATACGTGAATGCTCGTCACAAACGCTCCCCTCTCAGATCTTAGGCTTACTTTATTTACTTTATTTAAAATATCAAACATTTAAGCGCAATACGCTGTTGTAGAATGATAATACATCATGATCGGCCTGCGGCAGTCCACAGCTGGACATAAGACTTGTTAAGCGCGCCACTTAGCCCAGTCTCCGGCTACACGTATCCGGTTGCTATCGACCACCTTGCACAAATCGCTGCTACATCGAGTCAGGGAGCCTTTCGTTATGTGGGATTTGCCTTAACGCATTTTTTCCCTCCACAATCCTCCATACTCCAACGGTTGCACTATTATTGGCATTTCGGCTTACAAACTCGGACGGCTATGTCATTTAATTATTTATAACGACACACCATTTTACATAGCAACGTAATACTTATTACATATCATACAAAATTTAAATCTAAAATATTCAGAAATGCATTAACAATCATGTACAACATCCACTTAAGATATTGTTATTGAGATTAGATACGATGTATAACATAATATATAACAATACATAGAAAAATGAAAATTAATATTTCCTCTTATTGTTAGTATCTAATATCTAAATTTAGGATATCTGCACAAAGCTGATTTTACACAGCTCATATTCTAAATAAATAAAAAATAATGTAATCAAGATTACATTAAATGTTGAAATCTGGAGCAGAACCAAGGTTCTGCTCCAGATTTCTACATTTTGTATTTTAATCAACAGTCGCGCTTACTACTTTGACGATAACAAGGCAGTAACAAACCAGTGCTGAAGAGGCTTGTGAATTAGACTGTCAGTGTATAATGAATTAATAGTCATATTGGGTGCGTTTGGCAGAAAAAAGCGCTAGCAAGCGCTTATAAGCGCTGAAATAGTTTTCCGCAGGACACGATTGCTACTTCAGTAGCGCTGACACAATCCGCCATTTTGCTTATTTAATTTGTTTGTTTTGAAGTAGAGTTTATAAGTTGTTTTGTGCAATATTAGTTTTTAATAATATAATAACGTGAATAAACATATACATGTTATTAAAAATTCATGATTGGTAAGTTTTTAATATGAATACTTTACAAACATATATTTAAATTAGGTTAGGTTCCCCGGTTAAAACTAACATCGTGTCCTGGAGGAAAATAGCTACTTACGATTTGACAGCGCTTACCGCTTACGATCGCCATTTTGCTTACAAGCGCTTGCTAGCGCTTTTTTCTGCCAAACGCACCCATTGTGTACTCGATAACTGTTTCTATGTTCTTAGTTCTGTGATAACTGTCATTAAGTGTAATTTAACTTATAAGAACAATGAGACACTACAAGAATTAAACTCTATCCCTAAATTTAAGTGAAACCCGACTAACAAACTAAGCTTTCATAATGATGTTATTGTGTCAATTCTCCTAGTTTATCATACTATTTAATTTTCGTTAAAGTTATACAAGGCAAAAATACGATTTGGTTATTTGTTTTATCACCAAAATAAAGTATAGAAAAATATAATAGAAATAATAAAGAGTAGTTCTTACCTCCAGATGTTAGACTTCCAGTCATCGGCGTGTCCACTTCATAATTAAACGTGGCCCTTGTTGCATTCGAACTTGTCGCTTCAAGGCTATCGGTACTGCCCAGTATGAGATCTGCACGAGCCCCTCTAACGTACAGAAAATATATGATAATAGGCTATAAATTGATTAAGGTAAGTAGTATATATATATACACACACACACACACACACACACACACACACACACACACACCCACACATACCCACACACCGACACACAGACACACAGACACACACAGACACACACAGACACACACAGACAGACACATTCACACACACACACACACACACACAAAAGACAGAGACACAGAGACACACAGACACAGACAGACAGACACATTCACACATACAGACAGACACACAGACACACATATAGACACACACAGACACACATACAGACACACACAGACACACACACACACACACACACGCACACACACACACACACACACAAACGCACACACAAACACACACACACACACAAACACGCGCACACACACACACACACACACACACACACACACACACACACACAGACACACACACACACACACACACACACACACACACACACACACACACACACACACACACACACACACCCACACACACCCACACACACAGACACACACACACACACACACACACACACAATTCTAGTCTTCGTCTATTCGTCTATTACAGGAATAGAGTCCCGATTTTTTCCAGAGTACGTTTAAGATTTGCTCTGAAATGTATAACTACAAGGTATCTTTAAGGCGAGAGTGAGTTGGTCTAGTGATTGCAGTAGTACGACTGCTGATGATGAGGTCCCGGGATCGAATACCGGGTCGGGACAAAAAGAATCAGTTATTGAGTTTTGCCGTCAAGAAATTCTCAGTATCAGCACGGAGACACGAAGTTGGCGTTGTCTCACCCCCTGGCCTCGGAAAGCTAGTTAAGCCGTTGGTCTGAACACTCTCCAGTCGTGTCGGTTTACCGTTCCATCGGACTATGAGAATGAGGGAATAGAGAGTGCAGCTGTGCTTGTACATACACTTGGGCACTATAATCCTGTCCTGTGCCGATGGCTGATCTCCGTTGAGGCTGGCTGCCGTGACCGAAATTCCGTCTGAAGGACATTATTATTATTTTTACTATTATAGAATAGCATAGAGTATTTTTTTTATTCAATGTAGACTACGTGTAAATCTTATTGAAAGTCATTCCATTGGTTTGGAAAAAAACCTTTGTCCTGGGCAGAACCAGCAAGAAACACAGCGGAACTTTCTTATAAAATAAATTTTACAGTATGTTCACAAACTATAGGTCAAAAACTAAAGGAGCCGTTTGTTCCGTTTTAGACGTTATTGTGCAGCTACTTTCACCAAAATAATTAACATTACCTACTGAACTTCATTAACAATGAAAGCACCGAATTTTAATCTGACAAAAACATAAGTGGAAAAATGGTCTCCCATGCATCTTTAAACGTCGCGATCAATTCTCCAACTGCAAAAGTAAGTTTGTTATCACAAAAATATTTTTGTGATAATACAAATTAACGATTTTCGGACTTCTCGCTTTACTTGTGCTGTGAGACCTCGCTTAATCCCAAATTTCATGGTTCTTTTCATATTTCATATTCTAAACATGTAACATAAATAGCCATATTCTTTTCCTGCCTTAACTTAAAACCTTTTTTTAGAGCACCAAAGGACCGCAGACTTATGTTTATGATATTAATTTCAAGGTCTTGACCACAGAAGTAGTAATAATAAGACAATAGAAATGAATTAGCGCTCGATTACTTCCAAAACCGAGGTCGCCACATTTTAACACATACGCATTAAGGGACCGATACCTACAGCCGTATTATAAATATACGAAATGCACAATGTTTCACATTACATTGATTGTCGAGTTTGTCAACGTCGCGTGCATCACGTATTACGGTAGAACAAAAGCAGCAATGGTAATTGTACAATACGAAAAGTAATAAATGAAAGTTTATAAAGGTAAATATCATAGTAAAGTACTCATCTAGATGTAAATTAGTTCAAACAATAATAATTAGTAAACAATCATCTTATAGATCAAATATTATGCCTTTATTATGAGTTTTTACTACTGATTATGCTGCAGTTCACCATTATAATAACATATATTCACGTACGACGTTCCCCGTCTAAATTACAAAATAGTGAATGATGTTCGTTAACACATCATAGCGGCGACAGGATCACGCGTTTACGATACTTCTATTGCCTTATCATTACGATTTCTGTGGTCTTAACGGACAGAGAGACGGACGGACAATGACAATATTCTGCTGGTTATCTGGTAGTTTTTTTCCAGATTCCCAACTAGTGCTAAATTAACATAACAGAGGCTTCCAATAATTATTATTTATAATCTGTATAGTGTAAAAAATCTTATTTCTATTTCTATTGTTGTTTAGTAAAACAAATTGCTGGTTAAAATACCACTGATTTCGCGAAGCGGTCTTACGAGTACACATGTAGATACTAACATTAAACTTTCGTAAATATACTGAGAGGCCAAAGTTATTATATTTATTTAAAATTCTCTCTAATAAACTCCTTCGGACATCGGTTATAAATTGCTGTTATGCTCTTTTCTGTAAATCAATTTCGATGTTAATTGCATTACCCCATAGCAAGATTTCATGTCATGAGGCTATGAAAATAACACAAATAAACTAATCAAGCTGTTCAAACACTTGTATGCATGCTGCAGGTAAGTTCGCAACCTAGTTTAAATATAACATGGGGGTCGCATTGAAGCTTCTCTTCAACTGTAATTCCGAGGAAAACAGTAGCTTCAATAAGAATCAGCTCAGCTGATTCATGGAGGGGATCAATAGATTTTACATTTGGTGTTGTGAACTTATTACCATTCGTTTTATTACCGTTCTAAAGAAAATTGTTGAAATTAAGTGTACTACTTTTGATATAGCATCACTTCGTCACTCTTTATTAATTGGCTTTTAAGTCTCAAAATCAACGAAGTATCATCAGTAAATAAAATAAATTCTTGTTTGTTTATTTTTTCTAATTTAAAACGTCAAAACGAATCCTGATAAATAAGGTGAAGAACAATTGTTATAATTGTAGAATTATAGCTATTTATATGCGTAAAGTGTTAACGCCAGCAGCCGTCTATATTTCCATGTTATAAACCTAAATATAAGTTTTTAAAGAATCATGTCCATTATTGACCTGAAAATTTTCTAACGCGTCTAGTGATGTAAAATATCTTATAAAATTGCATATTATTTTCTTATTTCTCTTAACAATAAATTTCGAGTTGTGTTTGATGCAAGAGACTATTAATTTCATAATAAAATAATTCAATAAAACTAAATTTACGGATTCTATCGCGTTTATTTAACTGATTTTACTTATTTTTAATTCCAGACGTTTCGGGTGCTTTACATTTCGCCTTTTTATATTAATTTTCGGTCCGATTTACGCAAAACGGACCAAAAATTTATATTTAAAAAAAATTAATATTCAAAAACTGAAGGTTAACAATGACATTGGGACGTCAAACATCTCAGTCCTTCCCCCGTGACCATGGGTGCTGTAAAGCACCCGAAACGTCTGGAAATAAAAATAAGTAAAATCAGTTAAATAAACGCGATAGAATCCGTAAATTTAGTTTTATTCAATGTGTAGTGTTCGCGTAAATTTAAGAAATCATTATAAGAACATAATATTAAAAATTACAATCATTTGCATTTTACAAATAATTTCTGTTATTGAATGCTATAAGTGCTGCGATCATTGGTAACCTTTGATTTGATATGTTGAGTTGCACCGAAACGTGACCACAAATTAAGAAAAATATATAAAATATTTTGTAATGCTGACCTGCTAAAACTTCCAGAAGAACTGAGCTCCTCATCTTGACAGCTCCACGAACCGCTAGCGGGATCTGTAAAATGTTTTCCGGAGAAAGACGTGATGCTGTGAGCTACCGATCTCCCAGAGGAGGGCGATAGCTCACGTATAACGCTCGATTCACGAGAGAAATCCAAATCTTCCGGCTTTTCGGAAGATGTTATAAAAGTCTGTTTTGTAACTGTCACAATTTCACCATCAGAATGCTTCTCCATAACTGTCATCAAGCTGTCCATTTCCGACGGCTGGGAAGCCAGTGATGAAGACATTTCTGATCCTAAAGATATGCAGCTATCTTCATACTGTGTTAATCTTGAAGGAATGTCAATAGCGCCATCATTTTCCGTACTCGTTATCTTTTCTGAAATTTTTTTCCCATCAACGAATTTTTGCTGTATGACTGTAGTAGTTCTAACTACTTCAATTACACCACCACTTCCTGAAAATGTTTTAGAAATTGCTTGAAGCTGTTGTTGTTGGCGTTTGGCCTTTTCTTCTTGATCCAAAATTTTCATCATCTCTTCACAATCTCCCGGTATAGACTCTACTGACCCCTCACTTGGAGCTGCGGCACATACGAAAGCTTCAGACTTTTTACATTCTTCATCTGAATCAGTTTTTTTGTTTTCTGAATTTTCCAGTTCTGGCTCTGCCACAAAAAATGCTCCACGCTCATCAAATTTTTTTACTGTAACAATTTTAGGCGTGACTTGCTCTTGAATTCTTTGTTCCAATGCAATTTGTTGGTCTATAAGTTTCCTTATCGCTGCTGAATCAGCTAACAAACGTTGTGACGGACTACCATAACTACCTATTTTTTGTAATGGACTTCCTCCTTTTTGAGATGGACTTCCAGATTTTTGTCCCGGACTGCCACTTTTAAGTGGTGGACTACTTTCAGAACTACTGCTATAAGAACGCCTTTCTTGTTCTAAGAAACTACCCGTTGCTACTTTAGGATCAGCCTGTAATAGTGCTTCTTTTTGTTTTGCCAGTATCTCCGCTTTTAATGCTTCTAAACAGGCAGACTCTAATCCTTCAAACTCTTTAAGACTAGAAACGGAAACATCATCGCCTTGACTTCTGCTGAGGATATATCGTCTCGGTAAAGATCCATTTAATGAATCTTGAGACGATGAAGAATATTGCTGGTACTGCTCCATTAAAGCCCTTTCTAGATTTTCAAATTCTTGCAATGAACTTATAGATATATCATCATTTTCACCACGTACTCTAAATCGTATGCGAGATGCCATTTCGGATTCTGATAAGCTCCCATAAGAATTCCTAAAACTGCCATAACTTCCAATTGATTCCTTTTGTGAGCTCAAACTTCCAATTCTACTTGCATCAAAGTCAGTCATTTCTTCTTCTTTGATATCTTCTAGCGGAATTCTTTCATAATCATACCTAGGATCTCCTTCGAACTGCATTTGTATCCAGCGTTTACCAGCTTCAATTTCAGCTAATTCTTGAGCTTGTAATTTTTTTTGTTCTATTTCATACTGAAGCAATTCCTCGTCGGACAAGGAACCTGAAGTACTACTACTGTCTTGCTTCTTTGTTGTTTTTGACAAGTATTCTTCAACTTCATCGTCATGCTTTTTTACATATTTTTGGGCCATTATTTTTACACTCTTTCCTTCAGGGTCTGTCTCTTGAGCTTCCTTAGCAACTTCTTCTATTACTACAAAATCATCCATTTCGCTCGGTTTATCAACCATTTCAAACTCGTCACTAGTCGGTGATTCTGGTTCTTTCTCATACGTTCGTAAGGTCTTTTCTTCTGTTGTTACCACCAATTCTGAACGACTACTATCTGTAGCAAAATCAGTTTTCAATTCTGGTGTTTCAGAGATATCATATATATCATCTAAAACATACTCTCGACCATTCTCCGTAGATAATGAACTTTGACTTGGTAAGGACAATGGTGTATGTGGAGTCGATATGTGATCGTTAGTTTTTAAGATAGATGTTTGCTTTCTAATTGAGATTCAGATACTACCACATTGGATTTTTCAGCTTTAGTTTTAGGGACTGAAGAGTCACTTTTTGATTTTGATATTTCTTCATATTGTTTCGTCCCTACTGGTATTATTTCATTTTCAACATCAACGAATTCTCTTTTACTCGGCGGTCTTTCTGTTATTGGAAACGGTATTGCACTTACATCTTGTATATTTTTTTTAATACATTGTTCTGTAATTTCTGTATTTTCTAACTTTAACTTCAGTAAATTTTCCTCGTATTTATTTGCAGTCTTAGTGATAGCATCTTCCATTCCACTTTGTACTGTTTTTGTGGGAACACAACCAAACTTGTTAATTTCTTCATATTCTGCAGATTCAACAGGAATTATTTGACTGTCAACATCCACCAATTCCCTTTGAGATTTGTCTATTTTAGTTACAGCAAAAGGTACAGCTTCTACTTTTCTAATCGAATCTTTGGCAATCTTTTGTTCCTCTACTATTACTTCTTTTTCTATTTCAGTTTGTGATTGTGATAAAGATGCATCAATTTTGGAAATAGACGATGATAAAATTTCATCAGTTCTTAGTTGACTTGAAATTGTTGTATCAGAACCTTCTTTATCTTTAAATGAATCATCGTCAAGTTCATTACTTTCAGATGTTCCTTCTAATGGAAAATGTTCCGGAATCATTTCTTTTGGTTGGAATCGCATTTCATGTGATCTTTTCATTTTTCCGACTGGTTCGCTATTGTCCATTTTATTTTCTTCGTCTTCAACCGATACTTCATCATCACTCATATCTTTTGTTTTACAAGATTGTTCTTTATCAACTTCATGAAGAAATTGTTCTACGTATGTACTGCTCTCCATCAGTTCCTCTTTTAATTCGTTAGCTGAAGGTACAAGAGTTTCCGAAGCATCTGAAATGTCAATGCTGGCTACATGACTTGATCCATCTGAGTCAAGACTTTTCATGCTGTCTCTTGAAGCAAGCGAACTTCCAGCTGTAAAATAATCCTTGGAAGTCCTAAGTGACTGAGAAGATATATCGTGGCTTGTAAGCGCAGTTTCAAATTCAGTTCCACTTTGAGCTGTAAGCATTACCTCAAGATCAGACGATAAAGGTCTACTTTCTGTGTGGTCAAAGCTGTGATAGTGACTTTCACCGGAGCTAGACCAACCTTCAAGCTCGGACGCTGAACGCCTTTCTACAATACCCAATTTAGATGTTATGTGTTTATTTACTCGTAATTTAACTTCAGGACTACCTTTTGATGATCCATCACGATCAGAAAGTCCAATTTCACTTTCGGTTTCTAAAATTGAATGGGGTCCACTATCGGACTTTAGTGATAAGTCACCAATATCCAAAGGTGGACTTGATTCTTTAATTTGTACAGTGTTTTTATCCTCATCTGAAGTAGTCTCTTCCTGAGAAGTTACTTTATGAGAAACACTGTAAGATTTTTGAGTATCTGATAATAATTCCTCCTTATCAACAGAGGCGACACATTTGTGAAATATGTCATCCGCATGTGGTTCCTCAGTTATAACTTCCGGTCTATCCGGACTAATTAGGATTTTAAATTGGAACTCAGAAGGAGATTGCTTATATTTGCTACTACCATCATTTTTTTCACTTATAATTTCTACCTGCGCTGCTTCAAGAGACTGCTTGACTTCATCAATAGTTTTTTCTAAAACTGACAAGTCAGTAAGAGGCTGGGAAGAAATCAGAGAGTCAAAATCAACCTTTTCTGTTTCAAGTTTCATTGCATGAAACTCGGCAGAAGAGAGATCAGTGTCATATCCACTGCTACATATATCTTCAAGACTTTTTTCTTTTACTAGTTTGATTTCTTCCTTTCTGGGATCTGTCCCAGTTAAATAAGCGGAATCTGCTTCCGTTGATAATTCTGATGGTTGGAGTGTCTCAACACTTACTGTGGAATCCATTGATTTTTGCAAAATTTCGCCTTCGTGGGACTCTAAAGATTTAATCATGTATTCAGTATCGACACTTTCATTAGATTTAATCATCAAGTCTTTGGTTGTTGCCATTGAATCCTCCCACTCAACTTTATCTGTTTCAATAACCTTTGTTGATACATCCATTTGTATAGATTTCATTGATATATCGCTTTTAACGGTAGGTTGTGTTTCTAGTGTAGTTTCACTTTTGGCACTTTGGATAACAGTGGAAATGGATTCGTCTGTAATACGTTTAACTTTACTAGAATGTGGTTCAATATCACCCATTACAAAAGAATCTACCTTGTGAATTGACACTTCCAATACCTGATCTTGTATTTGATTCTGCTGTAGCTTTATAGGCGATCTACTGGATTTTTCTTTTTTTGGAGTCTCACTCATTTTGTCATCATTAGGTAAATCGGGTACTATTTCAGATTCTGAATGAGTATCTTGGCTTCCTGTTCGACTGAATGAACTTTTGATTGGTGAAGTAGACACTTTGATTTCTTTGATAAAATCTACTTCATACACTTCGTCATCTTTTTTAAAAGATTTTGATTTACTCTTAGGACTCATCTCCGATGAGTCTTTTTTTCCAGCTGACTCGCTCTTAAAACTTGGTGCATGAGAAGCATCCGAGCTAAGATCATCATGCTCTTTGCTTTCAATTATTGATTCTTCTTTATGATGTTCCGTCTTTGAACTGATTATCTTGCCTTTTTCAGATATTTCTGTGGTAGAAACAATTTCATCTTTTTCTACAATTTTTAATGATGTATCTACAAATGCTGTTCTTGATTTGTTTTCACTTTCCTGAATATCTTGTAATTCACCGGGTTCAGTAAAATACTCCTTACCCCATTGTTCATGAGACATTTCTCGTTCCGATATTTTAATATCTTGCTTCTTTTTTACGGTTTCATCTTTAATTGCAGTCATTTTCTCTTCTGATTTTGATTGCCGCCCAGTGTAAAGGCCTTGTTCAGTAAATTCTCTTTCCACTTTTATAACATCAGTATCATCAGTACTTTTACATACTATTTTTGTTTCTACATCTGACCTTTTAGCAGTGGCTGCATGTGCTTTTTCTAACTTTTTCTCTGATGATTCTGTTTGATCACCATCTTTCCTTACTATGGATTTTTCTTTCACTTCATGTTCTTGTCCACGTAATTCATGCGTCGTTTCAGTTTTTATTACGAGCGAGTCATCATCGGAAGACGAAACGTGTTTTGTTTCGACATAAAATTCTTGTCCTGATATTTTCCTTGTTTCAGTTTTTTTATGTGACAATATTGTACTAAAATCTTCCTGTGTTGTTCCAAATTTAGCAACCATATCTGTCATAATGGCTTTAGGATCAATGCTCTGAAACTTAAGCTCGGCGCCTTCAACAGTTTTATGAGTAGACGAAGACGAAGTTGATGTTTCAATAACCGATTTAGAAAAAAAATTATCTGATGGAATTGATTTTTGCATCTCTTCTTCTTGCATTTTGACAGCTAGCTGTTCCTCTTTTATTTGATTAATTACATCCATACTTTTTTCTATAGTCCGGTCAACAAGCTCAATAGCTCCACTTGTTAAAGTTGGTTGATCAATGTTTACGAATGACAGGTTTTCATGTTTTCTCAGAGATTCGGGTCTGGCGGTTGCACTATGTACGTTTGACGCTTTAGTTAACAATTCTGTAATGAAAAAAAAAACATGGCTTTAAGATTTTATTTATTTATTTCTATTATAAATGTAATTTTTTTGAATAATGAAAGTGTTTATTTTCCTCGTTAAAATAGTCACATAAATATGCATTTGCAAATATAAGAGATAGTAAAAGCAAATAATCTTTATAAGAGAATTCGGAAACCAACATTAGAAATTAAATAAACACTTGTATAAAAAGAAACAACATGGGTGATAGGAGCATAACTTTTTAAATAATATGGACGTATCATAAAGAATTAATTATGTGATCATGGTTTAAGCTTATGTGATAAGCAAAATAGTGAACTAAATAAAGAAGAATGTTGAATCAATGCGAAACGTTACTCAAAAGTGAATATTAAGATGTTAAAACGAAAAACGGCATCCTAAATTAAATACAATTAGTGTTTCAAATTAATCATAAGCAACAACAAACGAATGATGCGTCATTTCTGCCGTAGGTTCACTTACCTAAAGCAACGTAAGGGCTCCGCAAGAAAGAAAGTAAAATTTACTGTGCTTATAAATTTTCGCCAAAATATTTGTGAAATTCGCAAATAAAGTCAATGTTTACCATCCCAGATGACTAAAATGTACGTAGCATTTTTGAACCTTACACCATACTTTGAAAATTTTAAAACTCTTTGATGAAATTTTATGTTGTATTTTTTCTTTAAGTACTAGGTGTAAATAAAAAATACATGCTTAAATTAGCATAAAATAAATAGCGTGGCAAATAAGGATTTACATTACTATGTTTATGAAAACGAAGAGTAAAGTTTCGCTATGACTCTACTTGCCACTACTTTACTGTGAAACAAGCTGAATTTTCTGGATTAATGCTTATAAATATAGAGTTGCTTATATATATTTAAATTAATTTTTATACATAAATATATAACATTCAAGAAATATCCTAAATGGTCTAAAAATTAATATGAAAATTTCTTCAAGGCGTAACTTCATTTTGTACATATAAATTTATATATAGCTTATATATTTTCTTCTCATAGAGTCACAGAGTAAGAGAATTCATGTAATTTCTTCTAATGGGTGTCATAAGAGTCGACAATGCAAAGTGCCAGGAAATTCTAATGGCTTTTGATATCTATTACTATACACAGGCAAAAACCATTATGTCTGGTACATGATATAGCGATTGAAAATTATTCTTACTTCACTAATGTTAATTTTTAGTATAGCCTATTTATATCTGTATAGAAAAATTACATATGATGTATAAAATAATTTTCTTAGAGTTTGAAATACTGACCACTT